TAATTTTAGATTCAATGAACAGAAATCTCTTCAGCTCCTCTTAGAGGTGAGTCTATAAAAGGAAGATTTTTTTTTATAGAACATAGCTAACAAAGGCAGAAAGAATGTCAAAATTAGAAAATCATCATTACACAATCACTAATGAATTAAAGAACAAAACAGGGAGGATTGCATCTGAGTGCTGGCCACTTCCTAACGTGATGCTCAGCAAGCCTTTACCACCTCCTGTGCTGTGTTCTTGCCTAAAATAGCAACCCAACCTGAGTTCCAGCCTTGGTTTCTATGAGCCTCAGGACCTAGCAGTTTACAGGAACACATTTAAGCACTCCACTCACCAAGGCCTGAGCAATTCAAAGGCAGGTGACCTAGTTTTTTCAACATGACAAAGAAAAAAAGAGGTGGAACTGTCAAATCCTTCTAAAGTAACATCAACAAAATGCAATGTGTTGGTATTGTTTAGATTGTAACTTAGAGGAAAACATTTTAACTGAAGAATATGGCACAATTATTATCAGATGCTATTAGATACTAATTAAGAATCCCTATTTAATGGCTGGCAACAATAATGTTATAATTATCACACATCTTATGATTACTAAAAATACCTTATGGTTATTAGTCCATACAGTTCCTGAGCAAATTTAATGGAACATTTACCACACAGAAACTTCTCTCCACAACATCCTTTCATGGAAAAGCAAAGCTTTATTATTATTATGTTCAATGCATGAATTAACATGACTTTACAGCATTTCATTCCCCTTTTACTCACTTTTAATCTTGGCTACACTAAATGCACAACCTACAAACAGCACATGCATTCAGGTAACAAAAACCATACAGCTATTCTTTTTTTTATTTTAAAGAGAATAAAACAAGACAAAACAAAACAGAACAAAGCAGATCAGAACAAAACAATGCAAGAAACACAGGATTTCAAAACAAGACAACAGGAGATCATCACTGGCTACCACATGTCTCTTGTTTTCTTCAAAATAGTTGTCCATATCTTCACACATAATGAATGTATATCAAACAGAATAGTATAAAACTAATCAAAACCAAAGAACAAAGCCGGGTGTGGTGGCTCACACCTGTAATCCCAGCACTCGGGAGGCTGAGGCAGGAGGATCTTTGCTAGTTTGAGACCAGCCTCGGCTACAAAGTGAGCTCAAGGCCTGCCCGAACTGCATAGAGACCCTGTCTCAAAAAGACAAAAAAACAAACAAACAAAAAAAAACAAAACAAAAAAAAAAAAAAACAAAGAGCAAAAGCATTACAGGCCTCCAAAACTAGACAATAGGAAAATCAACAATGGTTAACAAGATCTCTTGTTCTTTTCAAAACAGCTGTCCATATCTTCCCATGTATTGAAATTAAATAATACAAACCAAAGTAAAACCAATCAAAACAAAGAACAAAAGCATTATTAGGCTTCAAAACAAGATGATAGAAAATCAGCAATGGCTACCATAATGCCTTGTTTTCTTCAAAGTAGCTGCTCATACTATCTCACATAATAAAATCAATTCTTGCAAACTCTGTAGGACAAGTTCCAGGCATACATAAGTCTGTGTATGCACATCTATTCTTTCTGTATTAGAGGAAAAAACAAAACAAAAGAAAAACAAGAAACGAAACAAATAACAGTAAAGAAGAACCCCAAACAATAGCAAAATAGGCTTTCAAAACAAGGTGGTAGAAACATAATCAGGGTTGTTATTTTGCATAGTTATCTACAGAAGAGTTACTCAGATTACCAGATATAACTTGCAAAATTGATCTAATTCTATAAATGTTAGCTGTTTTGTCCCATGAACTAATAAAATTAGCAGTACAATCATCTTAAGGGTATATATACAAATTTACATCCTTTTTCTTTTCCCTTCCTTTTTTTCTCCTTTTTCTTGAGTTATTTTTCCCCTTTGAGCAGTTTCTTACCCTTTCACAATATTTGTTGAAGATTTTGTATCTTATTTACTCTTTTGGTTTCTTACACTAGGGAGACAATGTGGTATTTACACATGTGAGTTTATTTCACTTGAGTACGCTCTCAAGTCGCATCCATTTACCTATAAAAGCCTCAATGTGATCATTCTTTATAGCTGAGTAGTACTCCATTGTATAAAAGTACCACATCTTTTTAACCCACTCCTCAGTTGATGGGCATTTGGGTTGTTTCCAAGATCTGGTTATTACAAATTGTGCTGCTACAAACATGGGTGCACACATATCACTGTGGTACGATATTTTCAAAGCTTCTGGGAATATGCCCGGAAGTGAAATAGTTGGGTCAAAGGGGACTTCCAATCCCAGATTTCTGAGGGATCTCCAGACTAATTTCCACAGTGATTGCACCAGTCTACACTTCTACCAACAGTGCAGAGGAGTTCCTTTTTTCCCACAGCCTCTCTAGCATTTGTTGTTGGTTTTCTTGATCCTGGCCATTCTTTCTGGAGTGAGATGGAATTTCAGTATTGTTTTAGTTTGCATTTCTCTAATGACCAACGATGGTGAACATTTTTTCATGTATTTGTCATTTGTATTTCTTCAGCTGAGGTTCTTCAGTCCATTTTGGACTGAGTCTTTGAATTGCAGGGGTCTGGTTTTTTTTAAATTCTTTTTTTTTTTTTTTTTTTTGGTGGGAGGTACTGGGTATCAAACTCACGACCTTGTGTTTGCCAGACTGGTGCTTATTCCACTGAGTTAAATCCCCACCTCTGATTTTTAAAAATTGTTTATATGTTCTACATAGAAGTCCCTTTTTTTCCTTCTGTTCAGCCATTTTATATAGAAATCCCTTGTCTGAGGGACAGTTAAGGTTTTTTCTCAATTTGCAGGTTTTCTCTTCACTCTGTCGGAGATTTTTTTAACACGCAAAAACTTTTTAGTAAGATAAGATCCCAGTTGTTGATTCTGGCAAAGATTTCCCATGCAGTTTGATTTTTGTTCATGAATCATCTACTCCTATGTTTTCAAGATTTCTACCTAATTTGTCTTGCCAGCACATTTTAGTGTTTCTATTTTAATATTTAGCTCTTGGATCCACTTTGACTTTAGTTTAGTGCATGGTGATAGGCATAGGTCTAGTTTTAATTTTCAGTATATGGACAGCCAGTTTTTCCAGCACCACTTATTAAAGAGGCTATCTTTCTTCCAGTGAACATGTTTGGCCCCTTGGTCAAAGATAAGGTGCCTGAGTATGAATACATTGGGGTCCCATCTTCTAATCTATTCCATTGATTTTCAGGTCTGTTTTCGTTCTAGTACCATGCTGATTTTACCACAGTAGCTTTGTAGTATAAACTCAAGTCAGGGATTGTGATGCCTCTTGCCTCGAATCTGTTGCCCAGAATTGCCTTTGCTATTCTAGGTCTTTTCTGGCTCCAGATGAATTTTAGGAATGACTTCTGTGAGGTATGTTAATGGCATTTTGATCAATTGCATTAATCTGTATAACAATTTTGGGAGAATGGCCATCTTCACAATGTTTGTTCTTCCTATTCATGAACAAGTAATGTCTTTCCATTTTCTGAGATCCTTTTGTGTCTTTTTTCACAGTACTGTAATTTTCATTGGCTAGATCTTTTACTTCCTTTGTTAGATTGATTCCTAAGTATTTCATTTTTGGGGGATGCGATTGTGAAGGGTGTGGCTTCTCTTATTTCTATGCAGAGTATCATGTCATCTGCAAACAATAATTTAACTTCTTTTCCTATCCTTATTCCTTTTTCTCTTCTGATTGTTGTTTGCAGCACTATACTGAATAAGAGTGGTGATAATGGACACCCTTGTCCTGTTTCTGATTTTAGAGTGAAAGCTTTTAGTTTTTGACCATTTAATATGATGCTGGCTGTTGGTTTATCATAGATGGCTTTTATCAGTTTGAGGTAAAGACCATTTGTTCCGATTTTCTGTAAGGTTATCATGAGTGCTAGACTTCATCAAAAGCTTTTTCTGCAGCTATTAAAATGATCATGTGACTCTTGTCTTTGGCTCTATTGATATGGTGTATTATGTTTATTATCTGTATATATTGAACCATTCCTGCCTTCCTGGGATGACTCTCACTTCGTCATGGTATACAATCAACACATTCAAAAACCAGGTGCCATCTTTTTTGGTTTTTATGTTACTTCCAACAGTCACCAAATTCTTATGTGCTTTCTCATGTAGAAATTTTTTAACCATTTTGTAACATTCTAAAAAACTTCATGGCTCCAATTCTCCTTTATTCCTATACTTCTTCACCATTCTATAACTGCTTTCTTCAACCAGCCCTAGATTCTCACATTTTTCCAGTTTAATTTAAAAGCAGTAAGAATTTTTCTTGCATTTCCTGAGATTCTCTCAAATGGGAAGATTTCCAACTCAGAAACAAATGTAAGGTGACATAGATGATGCCAAGGAGCTCTAAGAAATGCTGACTGGGACCCAGTGGTTGCCATGCTCAACTCCTGTAGATGTAGCAAAGTTCAGGGGAGCAGAGGTGCACCACAGCACAAGCACGGCTCCCAGGAATAGGGCAGCCTGCAGCCAAGAACATGTACAGCTGCTGTCCAGACACAGTGCAAGGCCAGGTCAGCAAGCAGTACCACTGCAACCCCTACCCAGGTACAGGCTGCCAGTCCTCAAAGTGTATTTTAAAAGAACCCGAGAAGACAGCTGGGGGAACACACTTGCTGGTGAGAAGCAGACAGATATTTATTTGGAGCCTCAACAACTTCTTTTTCTGAAGTTCATTTTTAAATTGTTATTAGTACACTCATCATGGAGAGTGGGGACATGTACATAATGTACCTTTTTGGGGGTACTTGGAGTTGAACCCAGAACCTCAAGCACACTAGCCAAGTGCTCTATTGCTGACCTACATCCCAAGCCCCTCCAATTCTTCCTTGTTGCCCAGGACCTACTCACTTTCCTCCTTAGGTTGAAACTAAGATGTAACCTTAAAGATGCCCAAAAACACATTACACTCAAGGAAAGATGCCTGGAGTCAATTCAAAGAGGGGATCTGATTTATTATTAAAATACATATTTACATTGAGAATACAGTTAAATTAGTAGGCTTGTTCACATTTTCACATTTGAAAAAGCAGCACAGAAGTTTCATTCACATTCTAGGCAATTGAAATGGTCTGTCTCCATTTCATAGGAGCTGGATTATATTCCCTCACTCCTTACAACACTCAACTAGAAAATTACTCCGCTGCTTCTGACGTACTGGCTGGGCTGGCATCTGCAATGGTAGCTAAGTAAATGAGATTTCTGTGTAACACTTGCTGATACCTATGGGTAAAAACAGCAAAAATTAGTAAAAGCTTGCTTTTACTGACTGTGAACAAATCCTGGAAAATTTACTGAATCCAGTGGAATGGCTCACCTACTGTCTTGATTCAGTGTTACTGACCTTCTTGTTGAACATAAGAAAAATACATCCAGAATCTCAGCTATTCTCACTGGTTTCTGAGCTACTTCTCTAGACCAAGCCATTCTTACCTGTTGCCTGAACCATGGTAGTGGTCTCCTAGATCTACATTTGCAGCTGTTTTATTCTCAAACAGTAGTCTCAGTGATCATTTAAGTCAAGATCACGGCATGACTGTTTAAAATCCTTCAAAGGCACCCATCTCATTCAGAGGTAAGCTGAGTTTTTCTTGTATCCTACAAAGCTCTATACGATGAAGACTTCCAGTTGCATAGCTCACTCTCTCATCTCTACTTTAATGTCACCTTATTAGAGGACTGTATAAAATAGCACTCTCGTCCCCACTTGCCCTACTTTATATATTGTACAGTGTTAGGGATTAAACCAAAGGCCTCATGCATGCCAGCACTTTTCCTAAGTACTAGTGCTCTACTTCCCTGTTCTATTGTCACCTAAAATAGTTACTACTATGTACCTAGTTACAGATTTCCTTCTTTTAGATCCTGGAGTCTAGAATATCAGCTCTATGAAAGTAGAGCTAGTATATTTCTTAGTACTGACACTGGCCAGTACACTTTAGTACTCTTGAACAAACTTCAAAAAGGAATGAGACATTTCCATTACCAATGTGAGCTTACTAACTTGATGTTCAGTCAAGGAGTAGAGCTCTCCATTCACAAGGCCCGTCAGACTAGGGCTCAGAAGCATAGCCTGTGTAATGCAGAAAAGCACTGTGGAAGGACTCCAGTAACTTTCCTACCCTGCATTAAAAATCACAGCACAAAGCCAAATGTTCTGCAACCAAGAAAAATATTGATTGTAACTATAAAAGTTAAAATTACTGAGTCATACATCAAGACTTACTGTACCACTATGGGTGACTTTAGGGGAAAGGTAAAGCATGACGTTCTTAAACATTTCTTCAGAAGGAATAAAATAGTTATTCTGTGTAAGAAATGGGGCATAATTCATGGCCCACATTTGGAAAAAATATTCAAATTCTATTTCCTCTCATTTTGATACCTGGCTAGAAAAGCGCAATAAGTTATGCAGAATTTACCTTCGGGTTAGCTTGGAAATCCTTTGTTGATATTTGTGTGTCGCTCACAGATTAAATATGAGTTAGAAAAGCCTGCGAGCTTGGCCGCCAGATGGTCTCTCTTAACAGGGGATGAAGCTGAGATTCAGAGGGGCCACCGTTCCATTTTCCGGAATTTAGCTTCTGTGTGCGCCCCTCTCCATCCCTGCTGTCATCCGCTAGCAAAGCTGTACATGCAGGTGGCGTTGCAGTGAGAATAATCCATTTCTAAAGAGGAAGCCACATCTAAATCCAGGTTCCAAAGAACTGGCTGTGTGGTTTGGACTTCCCTTTCCTTGCCTGTAAAGCGAGACTCATCTGCGATCCGTCACTAACACCCCTAGTTCGGGACAGCTGCTGCATCCTCCTGCTGGCTCCAATAGAGGACCTGGGCTGGAAGGGGCACTTACTGAACGCACTCGTTAGCGCAGCCCTTGTTCTGATACTCCACAATACAGCGGATCAGCTGGTCATTCTCTTCCAGGAGCTGCAGGACCAGAGAAAGGCTCAGCGCGAGCGACGCGAGGATAGCCGCTTTTCTGCAGCCTCCGCCCTCGTCCGCTCCACACCCGCAGGGCCGCACACTTCCCAGGCCCGAAATCTCCACTGGAAACAGTCGCTCCGCTAACTCCCCGCGCCCCCCAGGGCCCTCGGCCTCCGTCTGCCCATGACGACTCACTCGCTGGATCGTCTCTTGATCAACCACTGCCTTGCCTCTCATCCAGTAAGGTACGAAAGCCACAGACATCTCGAGGAGCTGCCCTGAAGCCCACTAGCGGAGCCTCGCCACCGCGTCTACGAATGACGCAGCACGATGTGCGCCGGTACGCTCTCGAAGCTGATTGGTCCTCCCGCCTAAGGACGGCAACAAGGAAGTTACTCGTGATTGGGCGCGCGAAGAGATGATTCCTGGAGCCCCTCCCCGAGGGCACCGGGGCGGTGTACGCTTGCGCAATATGTAAAACTAATTCTGTTGAATTTTAGGCTGCGCATGGGCCGGGCGTGGTCTGTGGAACTGCGCGCCGGACGTGCTGTGCTGTGGACTGATGGTTGGATATCACAGCTATGGCTCCAACCTCATTGACCTTTTGGCCTTAATGACTCCTGAGCTCTGCAGGTCTAGACCACACAGGTGTCGGCTGTGGGCTTCCTCTGGACGATAAAGATGCTTGTAATGTTTGCGGCTGAGCAGACCTGCCCGTTGTCCCGTGGCTGCTAAGGGTCAAGTCGGATTGGAAGCCCTGCCCACTGCCCTGACTGGTGGCGAAGGTCCTGCTACTGACTCCTCTGAGTTCCTTTGGTAGCGCTGAGGATTGAGTCCAGGGCCTCCGCATTGAACTACACCCCCCCCCCCCGGCTTTGTTTGTTTTCTTTAAAACAGATTCTTGCTAAATTGCTCCAGTTGAGCTGCAATTTTCGACCCTCCTTGTTCACCCTCCCATAGTACTGGGTTTACAAACGTGCCTCTGGCTGGTTTTTGTGCTGTCAGAAGAACCTTAACCTAGAGCAGGCTTTTACTCACTTTTACAAGGGGGAAAGTGATGGGTGGATAGGAACCCCAGGCTGACTTAGACAAAAGACAAAGGAGTACAGTACTGCTTTTATGGCATCTATGGGGTAAGGAGGGACCCAGTCTCTTGATGCCACCATGCATAGAGGTGGAGTTTATTTGTGCCAGCACTGTTTGTTATACCACACCATATGACATGTCTCATCACCATCTTCAATCTTTACCACTGGGTGTGATTTATTACTACACTAATAAAATAAAGGCATGGTTTATTGTGGCAATAATACACGTGTCTCTTACCATGTGAAAGCCCACCCCTACCTCTGTGGGTTTGATTTAAATGATTTTGGTTTTCTTGCTTCCTGGTATCTGCCACCTACATAGTCTTTGACGGTAGTGCTGACATCCTGCTGTCTCAGCTGTGCCCCCTCGGTGTCACAGCCTTGAAGACCAGTCCTTGTTTTTAACTTCCCAATTTCTTGGTGTGTTCATTTGCCCCTTCAAGGTAGCCTCGCGGTCTCGGTTCTGCAAAGGTGTATTGCTGCAAGACACAAGGAGGAAATAGTGCTCACCCTCCTAGGCCACAGCTGCTCCTAGGGACCACGGAAACGCTGAAGAAGTGGTTGTGGTTTGGTAGTCCGACCTGGTGGATGTGTTAACGGGGCTGGTTTTCCCTAAAGCACTGAGTGTGCAGAGACCACCTCATTCAGAAGGCAGATCTTGGAAGTCTGTACTCCTCAAAGGGGCAAGTCCTAGTGCTGCCCTATCCTGAGTGCTGGCATCCAGAGCAGGCTTGTCAATTTTTCTGCTCCTCTACCATGCCTATAGTGAAACCAGTGAGAGAAGTCGGGAAACATGCCTGAGCTGGGGAAGCACTAAGGACTTTCTTGTTCCAAACCTGCACTGTTAGCCCCACATCAGGTTCCTTCCCCAGACAACTTGTTCCTACAGAAAATGGAGTGGACAGAGAGGAACCACAGGAGCAGGGCAAGTTCCCATCCAGCCTTCCACAGCCCCATTGCTGTTTAGATGAGCAAGGGGTGATGACAACATAAGATGATGTTGGGGGTGCAGGTGCAGGTGGGAAGCTGGTCCTGCACACAGGAAAGAGATGTTGCAACAGGAAGAAGCAGAGTTTGTGCAGGGCTCCAGCGCCTGGGCCCTCGCCTAGGTGGGCCATGAATGGTTTTAGGTGGAAGAGTGAAGACAGCAGTGTCTCTCAGAGTTTTCCTGGCTGTAGGATGGAGAAAGGTAGGTGGGGCATTGTAATGAGAAACACAAAGAGCAGTGAGAAGGCTGCTACTAGTCTGCTGTTCAGAGTGAGCACAGCGACTAAGGTGTGCATTTAAATCACACAAGAGGAGACTTGTTGGACCTCGCTGATTGATGGGGGAGGAGAAACGGGAGTCAGGGATCTTTCTGGGGTTCTGTCTTGGGCAACTGAAAGAGCAGCCATGCTACCCATGGAGGTAGAAGAGGGACTAGAATGGAGAGTGACACTTATGCTGCAATGGAAATGTACCCTTGGATGTGATGTCTCACTGAGATGTTGAAGTCATGGCTGGCTACTTGTGGCTGAAACTCAGAAGTGAAGGTGGGGCTGAAGATACAGCTCTGGGCAACATCACTTGTGGATGCTGATTTGAACCACACAGCAGGTGAGACAGCTAGAGAATGTGCTGGTTTCCTTCATGGTAGAGGAAAAGAGGCTGCAAAAGAGACTGAGGGGGGAAAGAGACCAAAACCAGAGGTGTGCGGGGTCTGAGAATTAAATGAAAGATAGCAACTGAAAAGGAAAGCTAAGACAGCAGTGATATATTGAAAGACCAAGTAACAGAAAGACTAGATCTTTGAGGTCCTCGATGAAGGTAGGGGCAGCCATGAGGCAGAAGTCAGTTTGAGAGGATTTAAAAGCTGCGGAAAGGGAAGCAGTGGAGCATTCAAATGGACCACTTGCTCTAGAGATTTGGCTGTAAAAAGACACAGACAAAAGGCCATGTCTGGAGGAAGGAGGAGCCGTCAGGAGCTTACAGACATTCCTTTGATGGTTTCTCTTTCTTGGGTGAAGGGTGCACCTGGAAGAGCAGAGAGGGTTGAAGAGTGGAATGTCTGAGAGGCTCACAAAAGATTCAAAATTCAGTGTTGGTAAAACCGGAGAGAGAACTGGCTTGGCCAACTTAGGGCTGCTGGACGGCATTAATGAGCTGGTTGGGACTGGTACTGCATGTAGGACGTGGCGTGGAGGGATTAGCGTTGCATGCAGCAATAATGGACATGGCTGAGAGATTTTGTCCAGCTGGACTTATGGCCCAGAAACAAGTTTAAGGAAGACAGAAGGTTGGATTCTCCCAGGGTTTCCAGGCAGGTGTGACAGAAGTAACTGTAGCAGGGATGTCAGTATTTAGGGAACCATTTCATAGGAGTGATGGGCCAGACTTTCAGCTGTTGGGAAGGAGGTGAAAACTGAAAGAAGTTCCTTAATAGAGAAAAGTAAAGAAACAGCTGACTGCAGGGAAGTTTCTGCAGACCAGAGAACAGTGGGAGGGGCTTAGAGAACAGCCAAAGGGCAGGTCAGAGAACAGGTGTCTGAGGTTATAAATAATTAGGTGGAGCTTTTCTGCAGTGGTGCAGAGGTCCTGCAAGTGAGATCTGAAACTCTTGGGAGATGGCAGTGGCACTGAGAGAAAGTGACCTTGACTGAGGACAAGGGCTAGGACTACACGCACTACATCCTACCACCCCTTCCACCAGTCTACTCTGGTTCCAGCGCCACTCAGCTGAGCCTGTCAGAAGTAAGGCCCTTTCCTAAAGCCCCCCACCACAGGTTCTGAAAGCCCTGGGCTCCACATTTGAAAGTACCAAATTTTCTTCCCATTTCTCATCCTAACACATAAACTGCCTGGAGTTCAACCTCCTCTACTAGCCCAGAACCTGCTGGGTTTTCTCCTTCGTGTCTGTTCTGGCTTAGCCTCCTTATCACCTGTCACCAGGCCAGCCCTGGCCCAGTGTGGGAGGGGACCATGTGTAAGGACCTGAACACCAAGAGATAGTGGGGTCTCTTGGACTTCATCACAACTCTCCTGCTTTCATTTTGTAATTTCTATCAGGTTTTGTGAGCTATGTGTCTGCCCGTGTGGCGATGACCTTCACAAGCCCAGCTGAGGCCTCTAAACTGAACCAAAACCTGTATATTTCCACTGTTATGGTGACATCTGGATTAACCTGGACTCTACAGAGACAGAATGAATAGGAGCTCTATGTCTGTATGAGGGGGACTTAGAGGAATTGGCTCACACAATTATGGAGGCTGAGACATCCATGGTAGGTCACCTACAAGCTGGATAATGATGGGAGCTAGCAGTGTGGTTTGGTACAAGCCCATCCCAATGGAACCTAGCTGCAGAACCAAAGAAATGGGTGATGCAGCTCTTAGCCCATGGCTGAGTCCTAAGAACCCGGGGGCAGGAGGTTCTGGGGCAAGGCTGAGAGTCAAAATGCTGCCAAGCGTAGGAGAATAGTGTCCTCGCTCTAAAGAAGAGCGGGTGCCTCTGCCCTTGCCTTTGCGTTCTATGCAGGCCCTCTGCTGGCTAGATGGTGCTCATCCTTTGGAGTGAGGGCACATTGTCCCTCCTCAGCCCACGGGTTCACATATCCAGCTCTTGTGGAAACCTTCTCGCAGACACACTCATAAATGATGCTTTAGCACCTATCAGGGTGTCCCTTAAGCCAGTCAAGGTGACACCTAAAACCAACCATCACAGCATCCTGAACAGAAGTCTCAAAGGTGCCTCAAGTTTGACTTGTTTAAGAACTGTGGGCACAGGCTGCAAGGAGGAGAACCAGATGCTTGCCCCTTCCTGTGAATAGATGTCATTTGCGGGCCACGGGGAGAATAAGAAGCCAACAAGAATCTAAGCCCTTTTCATGAGTGGGCACCATGTGTGGGTCACGGGGAGGAGAGCCAGATATCTGCCCCTTCTGACACTTAGGCTGGGAGACAAGAAGAGCTAAGGTACTCCCAACCCCTATAAGCAACCAGCTGGAACACAGGTTGAGATAAAAGCTATTGAAGTAAAGTATACCTTAAGCTTGTAGTGTTTAGGGTTTCATTTGACTTTTCAGACCTAAAGCTGGTAGTCTGATCATCTATTTAGAGGATAAAGATATGCAATATAGTATCTATGGGGGATCTCCTTCTGCAGGTGGTGGCCATTGGACATTGTTGATTTCCTATTATCTTGTTTTGGGGTCCTGTATCATTTTCATTGTTTTGGTAGGTTGGATTATTTTCTGTTTTGTCTTGTTTGATGTTATTATGTCTGAGGGCAGAGGCAGCTGTTTTGAGAATAGCAAGGTATATTATGGTAGCCATTTTGGATTTACTATTATCTCATTTGAAGTCCTGCATTGTGTTCATTGTCTTGTTTTTATTAGTTCTATTGTGTTCTGTTTTGTTTGATTTTACTGTGTCTGAAGGTATGGAGAGCTATTCTGATGACAAGAGGAATTGTGATAGCCATTTTGATTCCCTATATCTTTTTTTGAAAAAGATATCTGTTTTGTTTTGATTTATTCTCTTTAAAATAAAAATTACAGGGAGGGAGGGAGGTAGAGAGAGAGGGAGACAGAGAGAGAAGCTGGGATCTCTTCTCTTCCAAGTCAGATGCGCTGGCAGTCTTCCCTTCCTGATCACCCCATCCACACTCTAGCTTCATCTTCTCTCGCAGTGGCCTCTTGGGCAGTTCCATGTCAGCTTCCCTGAGACAGCTCCACTTTGATCTTAGCTTTAGCAGCCGAAGTGATTTTTACAAAATGCTTGACCCATTTCCTGCTGTCCTAAGCCTTCCACAATGGCCTCTTTTCTCTCTAAGGCTTCCTACCCCACTCTTTTATTCTCTAAACTTTCTTCTTTTCAGGTGGTAAAACGTATACAACAAACTGTATTATGTTAACCATTTTAAGGGTATAGTTCTGCAGCACTTAGTATACTTACACTGTTGTGCAGCTGTCACCAGCACCCCTTCTCAGGGTTTTTAAATCCTCCCCAACTAAAATTCTGTGCCCTTTAAAACATCCCGCCTCTCTGGGGTTTTCCTTTCATCCCTCAGAGGAGCCTTGCATCCTTGCACACAAGAGTTCTTTATACTCGCAGATTTGTCGGTCTGAGACATGCTTCTCTTTCCTCTGCCCATTCAGCGGCTATTCAGTGAAGCCTCCTCTGACGCCCACGTCCCAAGTTGTAAACTCTCTGAAACACCTGCTCCTGCAGAACTTGGCGGCTACTCTAGAGGCTGAGGCAGAAGGATCGCAAGATTGAGGCCAGCCTGGACAACTTAGTGAGACTCTGAGTAAGTAAATACATAAGGACTGGGATGTGGCTCAGTGCTCCCAGGGTTCAATCTCTAGTCCTGCAGATCACAAAGCTAGCCGTCCCTGCCCCACCCGGACGGGTAGTGTGCATTTATACACCTGTTAGTGGTGTGGAGCTGTCACCCTGCCCTGCTCTCGTGACGCAGCGTTCTTGCGGGCGTGTCGCTTTCGTGAACTTTACTTGCGTCCACGCTGGCAGCGGCCGCGGATCCCACGCCCGGAGCAAACTGCAGTCCTAGGGCCTCCCAGCCTCAGGACGACAGCTCTGTCCTTAGCCCGGGAAGGAACCCAGCACACATACCGCACTCCAGCTATGCACCCTGCAGTCTGGACTTTGGGCCTGCCGGGGCGGGGTAGAGGTGAGGGAAGCGTCGCCTCTGCCGCGCCCCGTTAAGTAGTGGCGCCGCCATGTAAGAAGGATTTGACTGGCGACTCGGTGGGACAGAGGGGCAGGAGGGCCGGCATTGGTCAGTTTGGGTGCAGGCGTTGCTTAGTAGCAGCGAATAGGAGGGCTCGAGGAGGCGCAGGCGCACTACCGCCCATCTGATACCGGCTGCGGTCGAGCTGCTTTGGGCCGCGGGTGGGCTGACGTCGCGGAGGAGGCGGCTACGGCTGCGGGCGGGGACTCGCGGAAGCCGCCGTCGGGGCGAGGTGAGAGCGGCGGGCGCGTTGGTCGGGGGCCGGACCGGGCCGCGTGCGGGGCGGGGCTGGCCAGGGTGCACTCGACGCGGCCCACCTACCGGCGTCGGGGGCCGGTGTCGCTTCCCGCCAGGACGGGGACGCGCGGGACCCTCACCCAAGGGGTTTGCGCCGCTGTGACACAAATCTCCCTGCTCCCCAGACTCCTGCGGGGACTGAGCCAAGGGCCAGGGGTTCGGGAAGCGGAGAAGGAAGCGCCCGGGAACTAGGCGCTCGAACACCAGCGTCGGCGGAGGAGCAGTCCGGGGCTGAGAGCAGTGGTGAGGTTTGTGAGGAGAGCAGGAAAAGAATGACGTCCCGACCGATGAGGAGGGTGAATCCCGGAAGGACAATTTTAATGAAATGGAAATGGAAAGAAACATGAATTGGCATGCTAGAATTTCCTCTGAAGGATACTTACAACGATGTTATGGCTCCTATTTAGTTTTTGAGACAGTGGCTCCCCAAACTGCCCAGGCTGTCTTTGAACTTGTGATCCTCCTAAAGTCTTGGCCTATGGAGTCTCTGGATTACAGGCATGCACCATCAGGACTAGCTCTATGGCTCTGATTTAAATGTTTGCATTTGCAACATAGAGAACACCTTCGGTCACTGTGTTTTATTCTTAGAGGAATTTGGATATCACTTGTACCCAAAAGATGATGATCAGAGAGGACGATGGTCTTCAAAGCAATTCAGTGAGTGAGGAGCAGTAGTAGCACTAAGCTCCTTCCCTACCCACTAATCTGTGATTAGTTTTGGCATTAGTACTATAGGAGAAGGAATTAGAGAAATAGAGTAGCTATAATTCCAAAAGTTGGATTTAGAGAAGTGGGATGTGGTAGAAAGGTTATAGGAGTTTCAATATTTCAAGCAAATTTGAGTTTGAATCTGTTACACCTTTTTCTTGTTCGGTTTTTTTAGACAGGATGTCATTGTCTCAAACTTATGAGATTGTCCTGCCTCAGCCGCTTGAGTGCTGGGATTATGGACACATGCCACAGTGCCAGGTTTGAATTCTACCTAATCCCCTTAAGCTGTAGAGCTGCAGGGTTCACACCTGTCCATGGAAGATCATGCTTACATCATAGACATGAGCATTTAGCATTGTCATCAATGGGAAAGCTTCTAGCACGGGTCTGGCATAGACAGTCACCCCTCCATGTCCTTGGGCTGTCATGTCTCAAGTCTCATATAAATGGCATAGTATTTGCATATAACCCATGTACATCTCCCTGTATACTTTCAGTCATCTTGAGATTGCTTGGGTACCCAGGGCAGTAGTGACAAGAGTTTTTTCAAATATTGTGCATTGAAGTTGGTTGGCTCCACTGGTGTGGAACCCATGGATACGAAGGGAGGAAGGTAATGTTAGTTCTGTTGTGTTCAGTTGTCTGCTCTTTTCAGCTCTTCACAGAAGACTTACATTGACCTTTATCTCTCACACACACATACACACACACACCCCAAGCCACTTGGAGTGTCCAAGATCTACAGATTAGGTGACTTTCTCTGGTCCTGTGGCCAATGGTGAATCTAGTAGTGGAGTAGTGGGCATTAATCCTCATTAGCTTCTTAAAACTCCTGTTTTACAAGACCTGATCATCTGTATGTGGTAGAGATTTGAGGCCACGGGGAAAAGGGACAAAGACAGGAGCAAAAGCAACTTCTGGAGTAGTGCACAGCCTTTGGGGGAAGTAGGGCCAATCTACAGCCTGCAGTTTGTACACAGGAGGTTGAGTCAGGATTTAGCAAGTGACGGAGGCACATTAAAATACTTTTAAAACCTAGGAATGTGGATGTGGTGTGTTTATTATTGCCTTGTGTGTCTACTTAAAATTCCTTCTATATAGACTAAATCTTCCTTATTTTCTTTCAAGTAGAGATTAATTGTGAGTATTCAAAACATGGTTCAGAAGTAAAGCAAAGAGTATGCAGACCTGCATTTCTTGTTTCAGTGAACCAAAATATGACAGCTATTTGTTCATTCATTTGCTTGCTTAGCAGTTTTGGTTGAGCGTTTCCTGATTCTAGCCAGGGCCAGTGTCCCATAGGAGGTTTGGTAGGACCTGAATGAGAGCCAGTGTCTCTGTGTCAGGACTCTGAAGCTGAATTTCTCTTCATGGAATTGATATTTTGTCTGTGGCTATAGCATCATTATCCAGATTCATACCACAGCTTTCCTATTGTAAGCAGAATACTAGTTATCTCTGAGTGGCTTTATTTTAGTGAATCCTGAGGTTACAGCATCTTTCTGTTTGAAAATGTCCTGTGGCTGTGTTTCTGCCTCAGCCTCCCAGAGTGCTGGGAATCTGGTGTGTGCCCCTGTTTATGAAGGAGTGATTTTGTTTGTGGGTCGAGGTGGTAGCTGTGGGAATGAGCACATGCTAAAAGGCATACTGGGATACACACACTTTAAACCAATGTCAATTTCTTGGAGTTGGTATTGCACTAAGTTACATGATATCCTTGGGGGAAACTAGTAAAGGACACATGGGACCTCCCTGTCCTGTCCTTGTAAGTTTCTGTGACTCTGCTTGTCTTACTTTTCTCTCCTTGCTGAGACAAAATACCTAACACCCACAGGTAAAGGAGAAAAGGTTTATTTAGCTTACAGTTTGTGGAGGTTTCAATCTGTAATAAGCTGGCTCTGAGGCCAGGGTGGCATGGCAGAGGGGCAACAGTTCATGGCAGCAGAAGACAGCAAAGCAAAAGCAACAAGAGCAAAAGGGGCAAAACGGAGAAGCAAGCCTCTTTCCCTCCCTTATAATACGGAATGCAGGCCACCATCCCCAGGGCAGATCCAGCAGTCACACTGCCAGTGCCAGCACTAGACAATGAACCAATCACAAACTAGATTCAGCCACTTCTGAAGAACCCACCCCTCACAACCGTATTTGGGTGGGGTAGGGGAACCATTCAGGCTCAAGCCATGGGAATACTTATTTTAATAATTAAACTTTAAATAGAGAGTTAACAGTACTTATGTATCACTTAAATTGTACCTTTTCATCTTATGCTTAAAAGCCTTTTGTGTATGTGTGTGTGGTACTGGGAATGGAACTCACAACCTCATGCTTGCCTGGCAGGTGCTTGTGCTGCTGAGCCATTTCCCTGGTTCTTAGGATAGCCAGTGATTTTTTTGATGAAACTTAGATGTTTTCAGGTACTGTGTTATAACATGTGGATCTTATTGTAACACACAAAGGCAGGAAGACCTCCATGTTCATGGATTTGGAGAATTCATGTTATTAGCATGGCCATACTCCCCCAGATGGTGGACCATCCCGTGAAATCCCCATCGAAATACAAATTATGTTCTTCACAGAACTGGAAAGAAATCCTCTAATTCATGTGAAAGCATGAAAGACCCCTCCCCCCAAAGGCAAAACAATCCTGAGAAAAAAGGAAACAAGCTGGTGGCCTGACAGAACCTGATTTCAAGATGTCCCATAGAGCCATGGTGACATAGTGTTTCTGCTGTAGTTTTGGCATAAAAGCAGACTCACAGACCACTAGGACCAAAGCGAGGACCCAGAAGTAAATCCTTGTGTCCTTGGCCAACTGATTTTGAGCAAAAGTGCCAAAAATACACATTGGAGGAAGGCAGCCTTTTCAACAGATGGTCTGGGGAGACTGGATCTGCACAGGTAGAGGACAGAAATCAGACCCCACCCCTCTCCCCGTATAAGAATCAACTCACATTGGATCAAAGGCTTTGCAGTTACTGAAAAAACCCAGGAGAGACATTGGAGTATATTGACACGAGCAGTGATTTTCCTGGTAGGACTTCAAAAGCACCAGAAACAAAAGCAAGAATTGAAAGACAGGGTCATATAAAAGCAGAAAAGGTTTTGCACAATGGAGGAGATATCCCCAAAGTGCAGGGAGCCTGCAGAGCAGAGGAAACCTTGAACAGCTGGTCATCGGACTGTGAATTATAGCTGGACTATATAAAGGGCAACAAAAAGTAAGTAGTTAGTGAAAAAGTATGGGCAAGTCGTGAATGGATGTTCTCAAAAGAAGAAATGCAATTGGCCAGTAAATACATGAAAAGGTGTTTGGAGTTTGGGGCCCTTGGGACTACAGACTGAAACCCCGTGCTAATGGCTATCCTCAAGCCACAAAACAAAGTCCAGGAGGATGTGCAGAGAAAGAAATCCTTATACACCGGTGTTGGGCATGGAAGTGAGCCAGCCTCTGTGGATAACAATATAGAAAAAAGTGAGCTCAGGAGCACCGTGTGTTCCAGCTGTCTAACCCCTTCCTGATTATCCATCCAAAGGAAACCAACACAGCATCCCAGGGAGGTCCCTGCATGGCCACATTTTGTGGCACTGCTCACAACTGCCGAGGCACGGGATCAACCTGGGCACTGTCAGCAGATGACAGAACAAGGAAAATGTGGTGTGTATGCCCGATCGGAAAAGAGCAAGATCCTGTCATTCACACAAAATTGAATCTAGTGGAGGATTTCGTAAGTCAGACATGGGAGGACCAGCATTGCACCCTTCCCTTCACACGCGGAAACTTAAGAGAAGCAAGATGACCTGACAATAGCAGAGTCACTGCTAGGGTCTGGTATGGAGTGAGGAGGGGAGAGAGTGGGCAGGTGGATGGTGGTGGTCAGTGCACATAGTGCACACATGCTGATAAATGCCACAGCGAACTACTGTGTGCACAGTTCGAGTGTCAGTAGTTAAGATACTCATCAAGAAACCATCTGCTTCCACTGGGCTTTGTTGACCCCGCTCCTGCAGGGACCTGGGCTGCGATTCCTTTCTGCCTGAGGGAGTAAGAGTCTAGCTTCCCACCTGCCTTCGTGCCGGCCCTGGGGCCGTGAGCTGCTCAGTTTTCCTGGGATGGATGGTGGTTCATTGCCTGCTGTCACAGGGAGGGCAGCTCCTTGCTGCCTGTGCCCCACCCCTCGGGCAGAGCTCTCCACCTGCATAGGTGGGGTAGGGTGGGGTGGCTGCAGACTTTTTTCTGGTGTGTTCATAGAGGGTAGAGTGGTTTTACCGATGAGCTCCTGCTTTGCTAAACTGTGCCTTTTCCAGTTCCTTGACTACAGAGTTGAGGTGGTGGCAGCTTTTGGGGATCTCTGCTCATCAGTGTGTCTGTGTTGCTGGTTTCTCCAGCTCCAAGTCCAGGATTTATGACGCAAAGGGTGAGGCGGCAAACTTGTGCTCCTGGAGTCCTGCTGACCCGGTTTCCAGTTGTGTTTATCAGGAGGAGGAGGAGGGCAAGGAGCGCTCCTCTCATCTCTGATTCCTTTCTAAATGAGTGTAATCGGATCTCTTATCCACCTCCTCAGCTGTCTGTCAGAGCTCCTAACCTGAATTCATAAACATCATATCCCCAGCACGCGAGCCCCTCCACCTCTGCATTAAGACAGTTTCCACCTTTTGGAGTGCAGAGTGTATTTTCATAAAGGGAGAGAGGGCTGAGGTTTTCACCCCCTTCTTCCATATTTCCACCCTACAGCAGCTGCTGTGTGCCATCACTGCTCACTGTGGCTCACCACAGTGTCACCTTTACTGAAATGTCACAAAGACTTAGCAGATGAGGGCCTCACTGGTTTGCAGTCCTAGTAACTTGGTAGAACTGACAAAGTTTTTGTATCTCTGCAGTGGTAGGGATTGAAGCAAAGCAGGCTTGGTCACCAGAGAGGAGAAGAGCCGGGAGTGCACTTTAGAGAGCAGGAAAGCCGGGGCCACCCTGTCCCTGCTTACAGTTAAACACGTTACCTGGCTTGTAGAAGACACTCCGCTAAGCAGATCACACTGGAGAGGGGTCTGGGGGTGACACCTGCTTTCCTGTAGAGGTGCAGACGCAGGATACCTGTCTTGTTTCGCTTTGACATTTTGGATCCTGTCCCCATCCTTGGTGGTTCTTTGGCACATTGTCTTTTCTTTCTTCCAATGTCTTTATGTAACTTAGGGTCTAAGTAATTCTACAAAGAGTGTTTGTGGAGATATTTAGACCCTAAGCCCCAGTCTAAAATTGATCTTGTATTTTCCTATCACTGTCAAGACTCCGTGCCCTATGTCTCTTTTTTAGAATTAATATTCCAGCATTTCCGAGCATGTCGCAGACAGGATCTCCTGTCCCCTACCACTTCCCTCCCCTGATTTCTGGTTTGAGAGGACTCAGTGTTGCCCTTGAGGCAGGTGTCCATCCCATGGTGTCCCTGGCAGGGGGCCTGGCCTTGCCAGCACTTCTGGGAACATGGTAGCTGGAGTGGGGTTATACATTTCCTGGAGCTTTTCAGCTTCCATGGGGAGGTGTGGGGAGATGGACAGGTGGAGGTGTGTGTCTCTGCTGTTTCCGCATGGGAACAATGGGAGTGATTGTTCATTCAAGCATTGCAGAGAGCTGCACTCTTTGGTAGTGGAAATGTTGAATCAGTCAGGTAAAGAACAGAGCAGCAGGCTCTCCAGGTACCTAATAGAGGGAGAGAGTTTATCCAGCTGGGCCAGCCTGGGGAGGCATCCCAGAAGCAATGGGATACTAGAGGCATGATCTGCAGGTTTGGGTGAGCGGGCAGTGACTGGACGGAGCAGTGCCTTGTGGGGCTGCTACTTTGGAGGGATGAAGGCTGTAGGTGGGGAAATTGGCACCTGGAGAGTGTCCCCGAAGGCAGGTCTCCTATGTTACCTCTCAGTCCCTGTCGAGTAGAGGCCCTGGCCTACAGATCTGTGACTTGGAGGGTGGACAGGTGGAGGACCCATGAGAGCTGTCCTTGCCGCCTCTGAGACCCTACAGGTAGCCCAGTGCAAGCCCAGCTCTACCCTTGACCCGGGCAGGGCTGTTTTCTGACCCCGGAGATGCCTTTTGGAATTTGCTAGAGGCACCGTGAGGGCTCAGATCTGTCACCTTTTGTTTCTTGGTGCACTTATGTGTCCTGGCTAAACATTTAGCACCTTGCCATAGTGCAGTTTGCTTGGTGACTTCCTTTTGCTGTGCATTCTTCTGAAGACAAGGTTGGTGTCAGACGTCTGCAGGGGTTCAGCAGTGTTAGGTTAGGTCAGGCACTGTCTCCTCACCTTCCTCCGACTCTGCACTGGTGGGATGTGGCCCTGAGCTGCCTAAAACCTTCTCCTCGAGGGGTGCTCCCATGCCCGCTGCTCGTGTGGGGCTCTTCCTGTCCCCCAGGGTGTCCAGTGGCTCCTACTCTCCTCATTCTCATGGGCTGAACCTGGAAGGGAGGAGTCACGAGAAGCACAGAGGTTCCCACAGGGAAAAGCTGGGTGGCACAGAGAGAGGATGCTGTCTGCAGTGGGGTGGGTGCTCTAGCACCTCACTAACCAGGTTCCCTGGTGTCCACTTGGCCCATAGGTGTCCCCATGCCTCCTCCCGCGGACCATGTCCTTGATCGTCTTCACTAGCGTGGTACGGGTGAGGGACGGACTGCCCCTGTCGGCCTCCACTGACTTCTACCACGCCCCGGGCTTCCTGGAGAGCAGGCGGCACCTCAAGGCCTTGGCCATGCAGCTGGCCCAGCACCCAGGCCGGGGCTCCGCGGAGAGCCAGGACTTCCAGATACAGTAAGTGCCGTGTGGCTGAGACCCCTCCTCAGTGGGCCCCATTGCCGCCGTGATTTGATGCCTGTCTTATGAGGCCAGTCTGCTCAGAGGGAAAGGAGTCTATGACCACCCAGTGAAATCTGGGGCACCTAGTTTTCTGAGAAGGGGATATAGAATGTAACACGTTTTACTTTATTTGGTGTGGGATACAGGGGTTTGAATCCAGGACCTTTGCACTGAGCTATATCCCCAGACTTTTATTTTGAGAGTCTTACTAAGTTGCCCAGGCTGGCTTCAAACTTGTGATCCTCCTTCCTCAGCCTCCTGAGCCCCTGGGACAATACCTGCCTTAGTTACGTTGCGAATTAAATGTTCAGTATTATTATTATTGGTGGTAGTAATAGAGACAGGGTCTCACTGTGTATTTCAAGCTGGCCTCAAACTTGTGGTGATCTTCCTGTCTCAGCCTCCTGAGTGCTGGAATTACAGGTGTGTGCCATCACACCTGACTCTCACTATTCTTCCCAAAGAGGAAGCTGGGCCTTTCTTTTCTTATGGATGCGCAGTACCACCGCGCTTCACTGTGCCGGGGTTGTCTCCCAGGGGTGCCCTTGCAGGCATGCTTTCTCTGTCCTGAGGGCCTTAAGTCTGAGCTCCAGGTGTGGCAGTTGCGCCCTCTGTGGGCTGTGAGGAATTGTTGGTGCCTGCACTGCCCCCTGGTGGCAGCCATGCTTCCTTGCCTGGTAGCCTGAACTGGCGGTCCTTTGGCTGTTCTTGTCTCATGTGTCTGGATTTCTCTATTTTGGAAAAGTAGTGGTCATTAGAAGAGGGCCCTGCCTAATCCAGATGACCTCATTTCATCTTGCTAACTCAGCTTACAGATGAAACCCCCTCCAGAGTCCTAGGAGGAGGGGCTGCAGCTGTCTTTTGGGGACACATTTGTCCTGAAGGGGCGAGGCCCTCCAAAAGACTCCTGTCCTGGGAGCCATCCTGTCCTTCAACCTGAGAAAGGATTTTTTTTTAGTAACAGGAATCAAACTCACAACATTGAGCTTGCTAGGCAGGCACTATGCTGCTGGGCTATGTCCCTGGCTCCACGAGAAAGGGTTTTTGCGGGGAGTTCTAACTGTTAACAAGATGTAGAACATGAAAGCCCAAAGCGTCCTGCTGGAAATGGCCAGCGATGTGGGCCGATGGATGTAAAAAAATCACCTGATGTGTGTCAAAGAAGCCCCAGGTTTCCTGTAGTGAAGGGGGCCAGGATCCTGGTGGTACGTTGGTGTGCAGATGCTTGGGTGAGTGTGTGTGTGTGTGTGTGTGTGTGTGTGTGTGGTGAAGGAGGCTCCGCTGACCAGTCCAGGAAGCTTGGGGCTTTGCCTTCAGGACTGCACAGGGATGAGGCCATGGGGCTCTTGTGGGCCGGGGTCAGGATGAGACCCCTGCATGGAAAACGCAGTGGCAGGGCAGCAGTCACACTAACGGGATGCTGGGCAAGGGGATGCTCGTCTCTCCTGGGCCTTGGATGTGGTGTAAACACAGTTGCACTTGGCAGTTGGGACCTCTGTGCCTGGACCCCTGGGGGTTGGAGGAGGAGTTCTGTCCCCTGGGGTCCCTCCATCAGTGTTGGTCTGGACCCTTGACACCCTGGGGAACAGCCTGTGCTGTGGCTTGTGCTGGGGTTCTGGGGAGGAGATGCCCTGGTGGGGAGCTTCAGTGGGAGGTGGTGGGACAGGAGCAGGTACAGGTATCACCCGAGTTTTTCACCCAGGCCGGCAGACCCCTGATGACAAGGCAGGAGGCAGCCTGCAGAGGAGCTGAAAAGCCAGAAAGGCCTGCAATTGCTCTGAGAAAGCAAAATGACTCAGAGCCACAGTAGACAGGGACAGCACCAAAGGAAGGTTGCAGGCCAGTCTGGTTTCCCCTGGATGGGAAAGGGTGGATGGAGCTGCCACTGTAAGTGGCCTGCAGCCACATGGCCAAGACGCTTGACTTTGGGACGTGAACTGGTGGAGGTTAAAGCGGAGAAGTGAAGTAGGTTACACAGCTGGGCTGGTGTGGAAACCAACCAGGTGAAGGTTGATGTTCGAGGCAAGCAGCAGCAGGCTGTCGCAGGCCGATGGGCACAGACTTAGGGGGGTCCCACTGGGCGCATGCGGGTCCCGGCCCCGGCTCTGGTGACACAGGCTTTCCCTCTGTTTCAGCTTCTCTTCTGCAGGGGATGTGGCCTGCATGGCCATCTGCTCCCGCCAGTGCCCAGCAGCCATGGCCTTCTGCTTCCTGGAGACCTTGTGGTGGGAGTTCACATCGTCCTTTGACACCACCCGCATAGGCCTCGCCTCTAGGCCCTACGCCTTCCTTGAGTTCGGTTCGTACCTTGGCTTTCGAATTTCCGCACCTGTCCTGTAGCATGGCATGTGCAGAGCTCATCATGGGGGTGCTCTGACCCTCGGGGAAACACGGGGGTGGCACAACCACGTGATGGGAAGCAGCATCAGTGGGCCAGGACCAGGGAGCCTGCAAGTCCGGCGTCTGGCGTTTCAGACGCAGAGCTGAGTAAGGGAGGGAGGGAGAGGCCTGGGAGTCTTGTGACAGGCTTCCAACGCTGCCCAGGGTGCCGTGGCTGCTTGTTTCTGTAATGTGTAGGGAGAGGGGGGAGCTGTGTGGGCTGGCTGGCTGGTAATTCCCTGGGAGCTTCAAATCACAGATCGCACAGAATCAGTGCACAGTGGGTCGGAAAAACCTGGTCCTTGCTGCGGAGCCTAAGAAGCGCTGCTGTATGGGGCTCCTCTTCCTGGCTCGGCAGAGAGGCCTGGTGCTTGGGAACCATGCACTAACACTAACATGCTCTGTGCTGATTGATGTCAGCCTGGGTCTCCTTTGAGTTGGTGGCGGATGAGAGTAGAGGCAGGAGTTGGGGACGCTGTGTGGGTTCTGTGTCTCTGTGATGTCCTTGAACAAGCAGCTGACCGGCCTTGGTCTAGGCCAGTGCAGGAGCAGCACCTGGAAATGTTGCCACCTGTGTGTTCTGCTCCTGTGCCATCGCCCGCCCAGTCTCATGTGGCCCCTGGCTGGCCCTTCGACAGTGGCACCAGCACCCTCTGTTGCTATCCCCTTAAGGTGCTGCAGACCCCTCAGTAGACTGAGAGCCCTGCCTTGGGGTCTTCACAAACCTCCAGTCTCACTGCTGCCCTTAGCCCCTCTTCCTGTAGGTCCCAGATGGGCCGCAGTGCAGCGCCTCACACCCCCGCACTTCTCCCACCTCTGCGCTGCCTTCCTCCAGGCGATGCGCAGGGACAGGATGGCGAAAGCCCCTCCGGAAGCCAGAGCAGCGAGGGGCACAGTCCACAGTGCCAGTGTATGTGACACTTCATTTTAAACTCTTTAGGGTTTCGTAGTGGATTAATATTAACATAAGTGGAAGAATTCAAACCAGTCTTTCCAACATAAAAGCTAGTTTGCAGAACACATTCCTATTCATAATTTTTCCAAAGAAGCCTTTTATTGAGATAATTGAGTCAGGATAACTGCTGCTTTCCAGCTCAGAGCTGTGCGAGCTGTGCCTGGGGCCACCCCATCAGTGTGGCGAGTCAGCGTCTAGTCACTGAGGTCCTGGGCTTTGTCTGTGACATCTTCACTGCCAGTCACAGGGCCCCCCCAGACAGTCGTGACCTGGATGTGTAATTCGCCACCAGACCCGTGGACTCCCATGCTTTCCTGGGGATGTGAACTTGATTTTGGGCTCCCTGTCTCTCCTGTGCATCACCTGGGGCACATGCCTGACATGGGCTGCTCTCTCTGCAGACAGCACTATTCAGAAAATGAAGTGGCATTTTAACCACTTGAGCATCTCTCAGATGCGGAGCAGCCTGGAGAAAGTGCAGGAGGAGCTGGACTTCCGACCGCCGGTGGTCCTGTCCCTGGAGGACATGGATGTGGCCAGTGGGCTGGCAAATGGGCATGTGCCCACACTCTTGGAGTCTGGTGAGTGGCCTTCTCTGTCTGCAGATGGGCATTGATTTCTCTTTGCTTCTAGTGTGTATTTGGGGCTGGGGTAATTCTGACTGACCCACTGCCAGGTGGTTAATGCTGGGTGTTCGGCACTCAATAAAGCAATTAATTTGCATTTATTTTATTACAATTACATAAAATTAAACTAATCATTAACTAAAGTGGATATTTACAGCCTCAGAATCCTGTCTTAGTGTCTGAGTGGATCGTTATCTGATAGAGCTCTCCATTCTATAGCAGTCTGATTATTTTAACTTTTAATACTAAACTCACTGCTTGGATTTTGAAAGTGATGTATTAAAATGTTCATGGTTTTGGCTTCACTGTGTTCTGGTATAGTCTGTTTTAAAGGATAAGTTCCTGGATAGGCTGTCATGCCAGTCAGTAAACTGTTCTAATGTACATTGGGAGAGCACTCACTTTTATAGGAAGAAGAGTGGGTAGCGGAACCCCAGGCCCTTCCTGAACAGAGTAGTTTGTAGTGTTGTTTTGTTTTTTAAACTCTCAGACAAGAGGAGCAAACCCAGAAGCATGAGCTTGTCTGCCAGCGTGGGACATTTTGCTGGTCTTTGTCTGTCCCAAGGTGCCACTCTTCACGGGGAGCGAAGTGCTCTGTGTCCTAACAGCAGTGTGACTGCTCAGTGGCGCCTGGCAGGAACAGGCACGGGCTGGGTGTGTGTGCATCAGAAGTGCAAGATGAGAACAGCTGATTTAAATTTAAAAGATCACAGCAGGGGCTGCGGATTTAGCTCAGAGGCATAAGCACCTGCCTTGAAAGCAGGTGGTCGTGAGTTCAATCCCCGGTACCGATAAAAAAAAAAAAATTTAAAAAAAAAAAAAGATCACAGCAAGATGAACCGGGCTCATGCCTATAATCCCAGGACTCGGGAGGCTGAGACAGGAGTATCCTTGAGAGTTCGAGACCAGCCTAGGCTACAAAGTGAGCTCAAAGCCAATCTGAACTGCACAGCGAGACCTTGTCTCAAAAAGACCAAAAAAAAAAAAAAAAAAAAAAAAAACAAAGAAGACCACAGCAAGAGAGTGGGTGGGTGGGCAGCATCTGACTGTGTGAACCAGAGTCCGGTCCAGCAGTTGTTTCTAAGGAGAGAAGGGACGCTTGTTCTCACAATTGTCTCAGAGCAGCTTTAGCATAGGTCAGCAGCGTTTGCCTCCTCTTCCCAGCTGTTATAGAGTTAGGAGTCGCCATGAGTTGCTCTTGAACATTATCTTTATCAGTAAAAGAGTGGAGCGTTTTGCAGGGTGAGTGCTGTGTGTGTCATTGGAGTGCCGTGAGTCTGACAACCAGTTTAGCAGTGGAGCTGCAGCTGCCCTGGCAGCACAGGAAGCTGTTGGAGCTCAGCAAGCCTTGCCATGCGTGCCCTGGGTGCAGCCCACCCAGGCGCCAGCCCCTGCTGTGAGCGGGAAGGAAGTGAAGGCCTGGCAGAGCTGTGTGTGCCTGTGCAGGGCTGTTTCTGGAGCAGACTACCTGTCCCTGCTTTGGAGTCAGTGCGTCTGTCCCAGGATCGGTCCTCACGCAGGGGCAGCGGTGCCTGTGGCCCTGCCCTCAGCAGCCTCGGTTCTCATCTGGCACCTGTGTTTCTCCTTGTCAGCACCCACTTTCCGCATGGAGCCTGTGACCACCCTGGGTGTCCTGTCCCTCGTCCTCAACATCATGTGTGCCGCTCTGAACCTAGTCCGCGGAGTCCACCTCGCAGAGCACTCCCTACAGGTGGCCCGGGCTTTCCACGCCTGCTATGGGGGTGGGGGGACATCTGCAAAGCTTCTTTGTACTACGTTCACTGTTCCTGTTTTGTGTGGACCTGGGGCTTGATGCCAGGCCCTTCACACTGAGCAACACCCCCAGCCCTCTTTTCAGCTGTGAGACAGGGTCTCCCTACTTAGTTCAGGCTGGCCTTGAACTTACTGTGTAGCCCAGGCTGGCCTTGAACTCATAGTGATCCTCTTGCCTCAGCTTCATGAGTGCTGGGTTTGTAGATATGCACCATCATGCCTGGCTCAACCCTGTTTGATAATAGTTGTAAATTTTGAAGTATTTCAAATACTTGGAAAAGGAATGGAACCATAGTTAGCATAGGAATCTTCAGAGCAGAACTGTAATGCTCGCCTCTCATGGCCAGCGCCTGGGGTGCAGTGGGTGCTGGATCTCGGCAGGCTGAGGAAGACAGGCCATCTGGAGTGGCAGGCACCTCTCACCACCTCCCCTCATCCCAGTGGATGAGGCTTTCTTTCTCATTGCTAATGGTCTGGAAGCTCTAGAAGTGGCCCTGGCCATCGATATGCTGGGGCGTGGTCCCTGCCTTGCAGGCCTCAGGCACAGAGCAGAATGTGGGCAGCCAGGGGTTGTTGGGTGGTACTGGGGCCGTGGCTGTCAGAGGGAGGGGAAGGTGACAGGGCTGGGGTACTGGTGAGGCACAGGACTGTGAGGGCAGTGCGGGAGTCGGTTGCCTCTTTTCACCTCCATACCCTCTCCGTGTTCTTCTGATTTTTAGGTGGCCCAGGAGGAAATTGGGAACATCTTGGCTTTTCTCATTCCTTTTGTAGCCTGCATTTTCCAGGTGGGTGAAGCGCTAGTGTTTGGGGGAGTGGGTTAAACTTGTGCTTTTTTTGTCCTTTTGTGACAACCATCAGCAAGTTTCCCATCCCGGTTTTGTTCCACCACTGTCCTGGTTCAAATCTGGGACCCCTCAACCCTTCGTGGAGGAACCTTGCCCCGTGCTGCTGAACCCTTTGTTTTGTGGTGGAAGAACTTCGGGCACAGGAAGGAAAAGCCGCTTGCCCACGGCCACAGGGCCACTGAGAGCTGCAGATCTAGTAGTGCCCCTGACAGTCCAGCGCCTAAGTGGCTTGCAGGGAGGTGGCAGTAAAGATGTGGTTTATAAACCTGTGACGAGGCCAAAATTGTTTTAAATAGTGATACCGTCTATAAATCTGTCCTTTAGGGAGTGAAACGAAAATCAGATCACTAACCAAGGGCTTTGGCCACGTGCAGCTGTGCACACTTGAAATTCATGTTCCATGGTCACTGCCTCCCTCCATAGCCGGACCAAGCATGGAATTGCTTTGTGTTCTGAGAATGTGCTCTTTTTAAGAACTAGTGAACTAGAGTGCTGTTCCCAGCATCTGCAGAGTGGCCACAGCCCCTTCTGCGGGGTGGCCTGGCAGGAGATCGCAGCCACACTGCCTGCTGGCAAAGCATCCCTGACCCCGAGATGCCCTGAAGATGCAGGGCAGCAGGAAGAGAGAGGCAGGGCACTGGGCCAGTGAGAGCACGGCCTCCTCTGCCTGTGCTCCTTGGGGGGAGGCGCGCTGGGGTCTCCAGGCCTGGCTCCTGCCTGCCCGTACCTTCCTGGGTCTGCAGACGTGCAGCCCTGGCTGGTCTGTCACACCTGCCTCTCTGTCCTCTCCTGCGTGGCTGCTTGCAGCAGAGTCAGCAGGGTGGGCATAGCCACCTGAGCGCACGGTGGTGGCTTCATTCAGTCCCCAAGCCCGCACAGGCAGGCGGGTGCCAGGCCTGGTGGCAGCCACAGGACCCAAGGCCCTAACGGCTGGTCGCCCCTGTGGTCTCTCGCAGTGCTACCTGTACCTGTTCTACAGCCCAGGCCGCACGGCAAAGGTGCTGCTGCTGCTGCTCTTCATCTGCCTGAGCAATGCCAAACTGCATGGGCTGCGCAGCCTGTGGCAGATCCTCTTCCACGTCGGGGTGGCCTCCCTGTCCTCCCACCAGACCCTCACGCGGCAGCTGCGGGAGCGGCAGTCGGGCTGCGGAGTATGAGGCCACTGGAGGTGGGCTTTCCCCGTGGGTCCCTGCCTCCCTCCTGCTCGGACTCCACCACCCGCGTCTGTGATGCTCCTTCCGGCAGTGCAGGTTCAGAGCCGGAGTGAAGGTCCCGGCAGGACCGGGCAGCCAGGTGGGGTCCAGTCCTCTCCCCCTCATGCTGAGGACAAGGCGCCTGCGTGGCGGGCAGCTGCAGGCTTGCTCAGGGAGGGAGCGTGGGAGTTTTTATCGAGGCAGGCACCCAGCACTCCGTCTGTCCATCCATCCATCTGTCCGCATGGTGGTCTCCAAGGAACCGCTTGCTCCAAAATCTGAATGCTCTGCAGTTTAAACGAGACTTTTTTTTTACTTTTGAAAAGAGGGTCAGAACACGGTGAATTGAAAACTTAAGTGTGGTTCATAAGTACAAGCTAGGTAAATTTTGTTTACAGTTTGGAAAATTTAGATTTGCTGTACCTTTGGAATATTTATATTTTGGATATAAATTGAATTTCAGTAGGGCGAGAACAAATGTAAACTGAGAAAGTGGTGAAGAAATTTTGAGTTTATTTAATTTTAAGAGGGAGAGACCGAGGGTGGAGAAATGTTTTGTATTTACCTGCAGGCCACATCTGAGTATTTTTTAAACTGGTTGACTGGCACTAGTGGATCGGCAGCTTGGACGTCTGAGCAGGAGCAAGACTCAGGGTGCCTGACGCGGGCCGCACGGTGGAGACCAGGGAAGGGGACCCCGTCAGTCAGGAAAGGTTTTGTCACCCTGTCACTTGCATGTCATTTCGCTGTATGAATACATGGCCCTGTGCACCTCTTCCCTGAGGACCGCTCAAATTAATTACTCCTCAGTACCTTTTCCAAGAATCTTGATTAGATCCAGGCCTCATTTTTAATGAACAAAAGCCAGGATGTAGCTGGGTGTGGTGGGCACACCTGTAGTCCCAGCAGCCTGAGAGCCTGAGGCAGGAGGATTGCAAATTTGAGTTCTGCCCGGGCAATTTAGCAACACCCTATCTCAAAAAAATAAATAAACAAATTAAAATAAGGCTGGGGATGTAGCTCAGTGTGACAGCTCCGAATTCTGGACCCAGTACCACAAAATAAACAACAAAAGTAGATGTTAACTTTCCAAAGCTTTATAAAGGAATAACTCACACATTATTTAAAAATTGATTATCATTTCCCAAAATACAGCTCTAAGCAAGGCCCCTTAGATCTCCAGCAGTGTCACTGCTGCAGCCTCTTTGGGAGACCCCCTTTGGATTGTCTGAGAAGCCTGGAATTGGAGGAGTCCACCACGGCTGCCTGGAGCACCTGGGGTTGGTCGTGTGGCCTGACCAGCTGCAGGGCTTGTTAGGAGGGCAGAGAAGGGGAACTTGTGGCTTGGGAGAATCCAGCTATGTTTGGTTGTCGCTGGCATTTACCATCATCGAGTTACCTTCGGGTCATTTTAGGAAAAACAGATTTCTGTGGCTTAGAACTGGATTGCGAAAATGTTGCCACAGCAGCTTTATTCTCTCGTACTAGAATTTTCTATTTTACGCTAACACAGACCTGGATGTGAGGACTAGCTAGAGAGTATGGTCAGGTGTAACCACTGAGGTTGTTTTCTCCCTACACTTAGCAGGTGAATGTTCAGTCTTCCTGGGAGGTAACTTAAAGGGTCTTCAGTAGGACATGAGGCCACAAAGGGGAGAAAAGGCTTTTTAAATGAGCAGCACAAAAAAGCTTGGTAAAAGCAGCCCAGAAATGTACATATTTGGAAGCTCGCATGACATGGTATTGTCATATGGCCCAGTCCCCTGTGTGCTGTGCTATCTGAGCTGTGACCCTTGCACAGCCGGCAGGTTAGAAATGGCCCCCGAAGGTAGCCCTTGCTGGCCCATGGAGACACTGGTGGAGGCATCCTGCCCTTAGCCACGTGCAGTTGGCCAGCATCTCAATGGTGTGAGATTCACTGTTGCAAATGCAAACAGTACCATAGGTGCAGCAGCTCTGCATAGCTGGAGCCTGGCTGAAGGAGGCCCACTTACCGAGGAGGCTGGTGACAGGCAGGCAGTTCTGCGATTCTCTCCCAGGGAGTCCCAGGCTTGGTGGACTTGGTTCAGGCGTGGAGGTTGCAATGCCCTATGTGATCCGATGCCAGAAGCCGGCTCTGCACCCTCAGCTGGCTCTACCTGCCCTAGGCTCGCCACTGACCAGGCCTTTGTTCTCCTGAGATCAGATGCTGCCTCCCATCCCCTTAGGGCTGGATCTGGCCCAGGAAACGGTTGACAACAGAACCTCACAGGTGCCTTTAGGGGTCTCTCACACCCCCCAGCGTGCAGTCCCCTTCCTGGCCAGGACAGTGCACTCTCCCAGGGCCCAGCTATATGTGATGAGGACCAGGCCAGCAGGGCCCATTGGGATGATAGTCCCTTTTGGGACCAGAGGCCTGCGGCATGGCTCCTGGGCTTGCTTCTTGGGCTCCTGCCCCCTTATGAGAAGCCTGTGATGTACATTGTGAGCCCGCAGCTGAAGTCCTCTAGGGCTAGGAAAGGGTGCTGGAGGGCACTGCAGAGGTGCGGCTGACTGTCCCCTCCTGTTTCCTGTGCACCACTTTTCCCACTCCCATGCCGCCTCTTTCCCACTCTGTGCCCTCAGCCCTGGGGATATGGGGAGCCTGGCATCTGAGGGAGGCGCTTTCTTCATGGTGGAAAGGGTGCCCAGCACTGCCCACAAACGATAGCCACGGGGCTGCTATTGAGGCCCAGGGACAAGGACTGAGGCAGGGAGCAGCCGCCCTTGGGCTTGGGGCTTAGCCTTTGTCCAGGTCCACCGGGCCTGTTCTTTCGGGCTCTCAGAGAACCCACTTCCTGTGTGCACAGGGCAGTGCAGGTGTGGATAGGCAGGGGTGGCTGTTGTATGGGTGTGGTCCTGCCCTAAGCCCTGTCCATGTCAGGGAGGCCCTGCCTGTGCACTGTGGGTGCAGTAGGTGGGGGTTAGCAGGATGTGTCCTGGTGAGATGGGGAGGTGGGCATTCCGGGCAGCTCCCCAGGGGCTGGGAGACAACTTCCAGCCAGTTGGGAGTTGCAGTGCAAAGGGCTGCATGTGGCCTCAGTCTCCTGCCCTGGAAATGGTGCTAACATCCCCTGCCATCCTGGTGTGCTCTGTGATAATGGAGGGTACCAGGGTGGACCTGGGGCTTCAAGTTCACTTGGCCCCACAGCTCCGTGCCTGCTAGGTACCAGCTTGGCTGCATCTGCCTGCCCTCACCAAGGGCATATGCAGTTCTGTTCCTGTGCCCTGCTCTGAGGCACAGAGCCCGGGAGGGCAGACATCTGCTGCCGGGGAAACCTCACTCATGGACCATGGGACAGGCTTGTCATTAAACCTGGACCAGCTAGAGAAGCAGAATTTGCCCCAGGTGCTGAGGGCAGGGCTGGAGCTAACCCTAACCCTAACCCTAACCCTAACCCTAACCCTAACCCAAAAGCTATAAGCTTATCCCTAATCTGCACTTGACACCCTTGAACTCTGGCCCTCTACCTCCCTGGCTGTGCTCCTGACAGACCCTTGCACAGGCCATTCACAGGCTGTGGCTTTGGGCTTGGGCTGTGTAATGGACATCTCTACCCGCGCAGTGTAGCATGCTTGGGCTGACCTGGGCCAAGGAAAACGTCTTCGCTCACGGCCCGCGTTCCGGTGTGCTACAGCTGCTTTCTGTTTTCACACATGCACCGAGGTCCATCTTGAGTATGAGATAGAGCATCGTCACCACCTCACCGTGAAGCCTACGCTGTGTCGCTGGGCGGATGGACACAGGTTGTGTGGTGTTTATGTGCTGTGCAGAGCCAAGCAGATGGCCGCAGGCCCAGAGTAGAATAAAGCTGAGTTGTTCTCTACTGTGTGTCTGTTTTTGCGAGCAGTTCTGACTTGTGTGTCCTTTCTTGTGGGTGGCGTGGAGAGTGGTGACACTGTGGCTCTTGTCTGGTTCCAGTGATATCTAGATAGGTGCCCCAGGGAGTCGTACAGTAGCCAAGGCCATGTTGTTTGCAGCATCTCTCAGGACCAGGCTGTTTCCGATGACCACCAGGGGGCGCAGCTGCCTGCCACAGCCTCCCATTCCCAGCCTCAGGCTCTGCTCCTGTCGCAGCTGACAGAATTCCCAGAGGAGGCCAATGGGGAGTGGGGGTGTGGGTGTCCTCCATACCCCAGGGAGGCCTGTGCGGGCTGGACGGCTCCACGCCCAGGTAGAAAAAGCAAAAAGTAAAAAACAGTACAAAGGGAGAGAAAGGTACTTCTTACCAGTGTTACTGACAAAACCTCAAAAGCAAATTGATAAATTTGATTACAAATAAAGTGTCATGGTCAAAGTTAAAAGAACAGAATACCCTTACAATGCTCAGAACCCATCAAGAGTGGTGTAAAGGAATTCATACAAATCAGTGAGTTCAGGACTCGAGTAGCAGTCGAGTCCTGGACCAGAGGCCACAAAGGGTAGGGGACCCCACTGCACCACCCACAGTGGGAGAGACACACATGCACGCACACAGAGCTGTACTGCTCGATGTCACCCTGAAACTGGCAGACAGGCATGTGGGAACAGATGGAAGTTAAGGTAAAATGAGGACATGACCATGAGTCCTTTTATGATCTGGATTTTATGACTAGAGCCGGGCATGGTGCTGCATGCCTGTAATGCCAGCACGTGGGAGGCTGTGACAGGAGGACCACTGTGGGTCTGAAGGCAGCCTGGACTACATAATGAATTTGAGCCCAGCCTGGGTGGGCTACATACCAAGACCCTGACTCAAAAAACAAAAAGTGATGGGCTGGAGATTTAGCTCAGCGGCATATGCGCCTGCCCTGCAAGCAGGCAGTCGTGAGTTCGATCCCCAGTACCGATAAAAAGGAAAAAGACAAAAAAACAGAAACAAAACAAAAAGTGAAAGAGAAGTAGGAGAGATTCGGACATGGGAAAGGCCAGATGGATGGGAAGATGCACCGCGGCAGGATCTCACGCCAATACCTAAGCTGATACCTGAGCCGTGCAGCGTTCCTTGCTCACCACCATAGCCAGGTTGAATGCGCCCACACCTTGCCATATGGAAATCTGAGTCTGGGTTCTCTGTCCAGGAAAACACAGACCCTTAGGCACCTGAGGTAAAGACAAATGTGGGAGCAGGACGTGATCTGTGATAGTGAACAGTGCGTGTCACCTGTCACGGAGCTACCCTGGAATACCCTGACTTAGATATACCATGGCTGAGTGGAAAGTAACTGAGTGGAAAGTGCCCGTACATGCGCCACAATGGTGGAAGGCTTTGTTGGAATGGACAAAGGGAGGACGTGTGAGAGCCACATGAATGTTGCCCCGGGTGGGGCAGGAGCGTGGGAATTGGATGTGGGTGACCAAGCACCAGTCTGAATGCCCTGGTGGAGCTCGGTGGCCTGTGCCACTGGGCAGTCCTGTCCTGCTGTGCCCAGCCCCAGTGGACAAGCTCTGGGGCTCCTCCCCTCACTGCCAGAGGGTTTGCATCTCCACTGTGGGGGACGGGATGGAGAGGGGTGGCTGTGGGCAGGAGACTGTCCTCTCCAGACTCGCTGTCTGCCAAGAGTTCCTGCCTTAGACTTTCCCACAGGAGGCCTCCAAGGAAGGGCTCTTTGGGGACAAAAGACACAGCTGCAGGAGGCAGGGGTACCCCTCATACAAGTCCTAGCCCAGAAATAGCCTGTGCTGACCCCAGGAGAGGTGGCCGGGACCACTGCTGCCCTGGGGACTGTTGTGGCCCCCAGGGAGGCAAGCAAGGGCGGAGGGCAGCGGATGCAGGGTCATTGCCAGGGTACACTTTCTCACGGAGCTGTCCAGAGGGGCCTGGGAGGCAGTGCGCCCTCCCCACAGAGGTGTCAGAGCCTGGCTGGCCAGCCAGAGGGGTCTTGGAACATGCTGTCCCCGTCCTGCAGGCCCCATCGCATCTTGACGCTGGCGTCTGAGGGGATGTTTCCCTATCTCCATCCCGGGCCGGCCAGCGCCAGCCACAGGAAGCAGCCCGTGCCAGCTCCCGTTGGAAGAGTAAATATTAGTCTCTTTGGGAGCTGCCTGTTCTCTGTCACTTGGCACAGAGGATACTGAGCTGGGAGGGCCCTTGGGTCCCCACGCCCAAACAGAGCCTGTGGCTAGGTTGTTGGAGGAACGGGCCCTGCATGCTGGGCCTTGCTTGGCCTTGCCCCGCCCAGGGGCTCATACTGTGCTGACCCTGTACCACCCTGTTGTCCCCTGTGCTGTCACCAGAACTGTCCAGGCTGGGTCCACAGAGGAAGGGCACAGGGTGCTTTGGCCTGGATGCAGTACTGATGTCAGGCCTCAGGCCCTCTGGTCCCCAGCATGGCCAGTTCCAGCCCTCTGACAGGGCCGCCCCTGCCTTGAGTAGCTCCTCGATGACTTCCCTCATCCTGCCATCTCCACTCACGTGCTCTCGCCTCTCCTAGGGGCTCAGGAATGATTTGCAGGGCGCATGTGTGGGGTGACACTGGAAACACTGGCGCACTGTAACCCTCACCCCACAACCCTGGTCCTAGCCCCTTCAGCCCCTTTGTCTGCTGGGGGAAGGCCCAGGACCAACTGCCAAGGCTGGAGCAGATGCAGGAGGGGAGGAAGGTAAGGCCTGTGTGACAGAGTTGTCCCTTCTGGGTGACAGTAGGGGAGCCCCAGACTTAATGACAAGGCTTGGGGGAGGTCCCCCCACCCCTCAACTCCCAGAGTCAAAAGGACTCAGCTCCTGTGTGACACTAGGCCTGTCACTGTGCTGGGGCTCTGGCCCTGATGCCCCCCTGCACTGGCCACTCCCGGTAGCCCTCGACCTGGCAGAGCCGGGGGAGGCACAGCAGGGGTCAGGAGGCTTGGGGACAGGGAGGCAATTCTTCCTGAGTGGGCAGCGGGTGGACACTGTCCCCACGTTCATGTCACTAGCTTAATGGACCTGCACCTGGGACATTGGTTGCCACTTTCTGCGATGGTTGCGGTGGGCCCTCCATGCTTGCCCAGGCCGACACTATCCCCACACTGGCCAGGGCACACTGGCAGCCTCTGGAGAGGGAACCCAAAGATTGCAGCCTGTGAGCCTGAGGGCTTCCTTCCTCCTCTGCAGATCGGCCTCCTCCCTGGAGCCTGAGGTGTAGGTAAATAGCCTAATCTGCCCCAGGCACGTGCAGAGGGCAGGGCCTGCCTGGAGAGGTTATCTTTCCCCACACAGAAACCCTCTTTCCTGCCAGCCACGATTTCTAGGGGATCAGAATGCCTGGGACAGTGACGGCTATCTCACGGTCACCTGGAGGGCCAGGCAGAGGGGACCCATGGGAAATGTCGCACATGGTGAACAAGGATGTCACAGAGCCGTTGACCTGGCCTTGAGCTTTCCCCTGCTGGTCGGCACAATGGGGCATGGTTCTCCTCTGAGCCCAGGGAGGCTGGTGGGGTTCCTAGGTCCCTTCCGTGCTGACCCCTGACCTCAGGGGTGGGAAGATCCCCATGTCAGGGTGAGGCTAGGGTGCACAATTTAAGAGGGAAGCCAGGACAACAATGCAGCAATTGAGGTACATACTTTTAATGTAATATTTTTTTTTTTAAAAAAAATCAACATTAATGCAAAAATACATGATGAATAAAATGTGAAGATTAAATACAGATGGAATCCGTGTTGCTCACTGGAACTTCTCTTTCCGGCTTCCATGCATATTGCCTCTGAGGAGCCAGCTAAGGGTGGCACCAGGGTCTGGGGTGCTGGCCGTGACTCGACGGTGATCCCAAGCAAAGCCCACGTGCCCTGATTAGAGGCTGGGGTGTTGCTATGATGGTCCTCTCGTTCCCACCACTGGCCGAGGTCACTGTCCTCTCCAGAGGCTGTGTCTCCAGGGCCACCAACTCCTGGCTATTAATATCTTGACCTCCTGGCCAGAGCAGGGTGTTTAATGACTGCCAGCTGTGCTCCAGCCCCCTCCCCGGGGACAGATAAGACCAGTTCCTGTTCCCACAGTGGGGCGAGGGAGGCCAAGCCAGAAGTGGGAATGCAGGGCTGGTTCCAACCCTGTACCCTGCCCCACCCAGCACTCCAGATGGGGGTGCCGGGGACACACCATCCCCTGACAGGTGGCCCTCACTCCTGACCTGGCCCATTACTCTAGGTGCTCATTCCAGCAGCCTGGGGCTCCTCACCAATGTCCCTGCCCTCCTCCTCTATCCCTGGTGAATAGAGTGCCAGCTTCCCCTTGTCCTTGTCCTGGAAGCCCCACTCACTGCTCTTGCTGGCAGGGGCCCTGCTGTCTGACAACCCAGGTTTCCTTGGGACCCGGAGCATGGCTTGGTATGGCAGAACTGCCCTGCCCAGCAGCCTCTCCCACAAAAGGAGGATGAGGTGGCAGGGCTGGGTCCAGCCTGTGGCAGTAGATCCTGGGCCCTGGTGTCCCCTGTCCCAGGTTCAACTGGGGACCCTTGCCTGGCCACCTCCCCTGATCCACAGGTGGAGGCCACCTTCTGAGCCACTTGGCCTCTGGGCAGGGACTTGCATGGAGGTGCTGTGTCCTGAGGCCAACCCTGTGGAGGCTCTCAAAGCACCCAGCAGGTGGCAATAGGGACAGGCTGGCTGGGGCGGAAGGTGACCAATGAAGGGGCAGGAGAAATCCTACTCTGGTTGCCCTCCTATCCACTTTCTCCAAGCTCCTTGCCTGGGGCTATCTCAACTTCCCCCTCCTTGACCTTTGCACCTGGTCACCTCCATGTGCAGGACTCTGTCTTCCTCTCATGCTGTGTCCTGGTCTTTGCTTCACCAGGGCCCCCCTCTTGTGGGTCACCCTGTGTCCTTCTTTTGAAGCCAGGCACATAAAAGGCATTTCTGGCTCTTGGCTGGTGGCCTCCCTGCAGTTTGGGCAGTTGCTGGGTCCCTGATCTGTCAGCTGGTGGGAGGCCCTGCGCTGGATTTGAAGGAGCCACACCATTTGCCTGACCTCCTTTCCTGGCGTGGTGACTGACTGGCTCCTCCAGCAAGGTTGCCCCTTCTGGTGTGCAGAGGCAAGAGCTGGGTTCCATGAGGCTGGCCTTGGGGCCCAGGCCAGCAGCCTCTTCTCCTGGTTGTGCCCTGTGAAGGGGTGATGTGGTCACATCTCTGCTGCTCCTTTGTTTTAGGAGTGATCCTGCCTGGGTGCTTACCCATCTCCATCTCGGGGAACCCAGCCTGGCCCTGCCCAGGAGTGGGCAGGCCCTTAGAGGCCTGAGGGGCAGTGGGGGACCTGCTCTACCTTTATCACACCCAGAAAAACAGGATGCACCTCCAAAATAAGTGAACAGCTTGACACGGAAATGTGGGCTCCCACCCAGGCCCCGGGCCCAGGCGGCTTCTGGCTTTGGCATGTTTTGGACCCCTCCTCCGGGTAGGGAGTGGTAGCTGCAGACCAGAAGCCAGGCCACATGGGTCTGGCAGCTCTGGGGCACTGAGCCCAACTAGACCAACCCTGAGGGTGGCATAATGGCCACCTGCTGCAGCCCTGGGGTCTTCAGGCAGGGGGTGGGCCAGCTGTCTGCCCAGTCCAAAGGGTGAACAGTGACCGGCTGCTGAGCCTCCTCAGCCGCACTCCAGGGGTGGGGATTCAGGGATAACTGGCGCTAATGACTCAGGATAACACAAGCCCTGAGAGGATCCCGCTGTTGAGACTGTAACAAGGCAGAGAAGCAGTAGTCTTTCTCTTCCCTCATCTCGATTTGAGTTTAAATCCTGCCTGGATGATGGACGAACACCCACTGTCTCTGAGACTCTATCCCTATCTGAGGGATTGACCCGGTCGGCCTGAGGTTTAAGGGGCCGCGGTGCATGCAGCAGTCGACACCTGGGTGAGTGCCCAGCAGGCAGCTTGATTGCTTTGGTTGTACGTAAGGCTAGAGTGATCGATCCCACGTGACAGAGCCCGAAGTGTGTGTGCGGGTGCTGCGTCCTCACTGCCCGAGGCCTTGGGCCTGCCTGGTCCCGGGCTGCACTGTTCCTCCCACGAAGGGGCAGCTGGCACCCGTTCCACGCCCCACACCTTAGATCCTATCACACCCCTGCCTGTGCCGGAGGTAGAAAGACCCACTCGCCCGGAGGCGCCAGCCCGGAGGGCACCGGACAGGGGAATCCAGGATGGCAAAGCTTAACCTAAAGAAACATGCCTTCGCCAGCGTGATCTCCCTACCCTGACCAGGTCTGGAGAACTTCCCGGGAGGCTGTGCCGCTGCCCTCCCATTGCCCAGAAGAGCTCCGCGGGGCGGAGCCAGGAGGAGAGAACGAAGATTCCTTAACCTTGATTGGCCAGGGCCTTCCAGGCTCTTCTGAGGCCGCTGGGGCACAGGAGGGAGCTTCCCGGGCCCCAGCAGTGGCGCCCAGGCCGACTGCAGGACGTGCAGGGTGCCTGCAGGTCACACCAGGGAGGCCTCGGCCTGGAAGCTGGAGGAGCGGCGAGTGCCTGGGCTGACGCGGGTCAGCATGGACACTTGTGTGCTGCACGTGGCGCTCGTGCTGCCGCCCCACAGCGGCTGGGACTTGGGGGCCCAGCCCAGCACGCCCTTCAGGTTCCAGCGCCGCCACTTTCGCCGCAGCTCCGCCTGCACCTGCAGAGGGAGAGAGGCTATCAGGCCTGTCCTGCAGCCCCCTCCCCACCGCGCTGGTCCCAGTCCTGGTCCCAGTTCCGGCTGAGCCAGGTCTGAATCTCCCCTGACAGACCCCGGTGCTGTTGACTCTGAGGTACCGGCAGAGGAGACACAGGCTTGCGAGGTGGGACATGCGACCTGGCCTGGCAGTGCCCGATCCTCCCACCTGCTGGGGCTTGCCTGCCCCCATGTCCACCCACTGTGCACACAGCTCTAACCAGCAGCACCCTGCACCCAGGGCCTGTCTGGGACAGATTCTGTGTCAGCAGGCCTGGTATGGCCTTGGAGATCTAGGTGACAGGACACCGCGGTCTAGGAGCCACCCTGGGGAAGCAGTGTTGTCACCCCCCAGCCCCAGGAGGGGCTCACCTCACCATTGAGGAAGCAGTAGAGGACGGCCACCACAAAGCCCTGGGAGGAACAGGACAGGACAGGTGAGGACACAAACCCCAGGTGCCTCGCCCACCTCCACCTCCTGTAACCCCTGCTCCCCATCAAACACAGGGTCCAGCAGGAAGCAGGCATTCGATCAACGCTTGTTACAGTGAAGCCTGTGCTAGTGGCAAGCAGGCCTGCTGAGGCTGGAGGAGCCCGAGTCTCGGGCCCAGCGCCTACCTGGAAAGACCCCACGACGAGCTCGAAGACCATCTTCACCTCAGCTTTGAAGTTGTCAGGGAAGAAGGCAAACATTACGTAGTGCACACCGAACAGGGGGATCAGCAGGAGCGTGGACTTGGCCAGTCTCCTGGGCATGGGGAACAGGCAGGGGGTGAGTGCCCACAAGCGTGCCCACATACCCTGCCTGTTCCACTCCTGCCCTGGCCAGTGTCACTGCCCTGTGCCCAGCATCCTGCAGAGACAGACTCCCTGGTGCTTGCCCTTCCTGAAAGAAGATGGCGTGGGATGGCAAGCTTTTAGCTGCCAGAGCGATGTTCCCAGGCAACAAGAGACCTTGGCTCCCTAATCCTGGTCTCAGTTTCCCCTGTCTGTATACTGGGTCAGTGCACATCCCACAGGTCATGTTGCAGATCTGGGGCCACTGGAAACTCAGGAGGGTTCTGGTGCTACATGTGCAGCCTCTTCGAGAGACCAGCTCCTTCCTGGATGCAGGTCTCTCCAGCTGGGGTGGAAGCAAGTGTCCACATTGTGCCTGGTCACCAGGGAGCCGAGGACTGGCCAGTTCTTGGTCTCTGGCTTTTCTTTTCCTGCTTCTCCAGGATGTGGCCCTTCCATCATGGGGGCCTTGCACCCCATCCCCACTGAAGCCCTGCCCCCAGAGCTTGCGGTGGGGGAGAAACCCTCCCCCTTCCGGGCCTATGACCAGCAGGGACAGTGTGCAGGCTTGTTCTGGTTCTGGTTTGGGCAGCTGGCCTGGGCAGCTGGCCACTGAGCTGATCTGGGTGGTGTGAGTACTGGGTTCCCCAGCTGGGGATCTCTGGGAGGGCCTGGCAGGGGGCATTATGACCTTGGGCAGAGGAACCTCCATCCGCCCTTGCCCTCCTTTCTGGGTCTGGCGTCCAGCCAGGTCAGGTGCCAGAGCACTGCCTGCCTCTCCTGGCGCAAACCTATCCCACGCACCATGCTGCTGACAGATGGAAGCCTTCTTTAACTGGAAGCCTCCCGGCGGGGGAGTAGAAGCCCACAGTTCCTCCTCGGGGAGTGCATCCCAGCTCCGCCACCCTTCTGCCTGCTGCCAGCTGTTCCCTGCCCTGCTCGCACCTGTGGGCCTGGCCATGACCAGACCAGGGCCTTTCTTGCAGAGTCCAGCCCCACTGGGCATCACATGGGGGACAAGGCCCCTGGCAGAGGCGAGGATGAGGGTGCGCAGGCAGGGTGCAAGCCCCCATGGACCTCCCTCCTCCAGTGGGAAAGGATGCTCTGCAGTGTGTGGGCAGGGAGAATGTGAGCTGTATCTCATCTAAGAGTCTCATGGTTCCAGAATAGAATCCTAAATCCAGCCACGCGTGACATCCTTGCCGGAGCCTCAGACACCCCCCAATCCCCCTCCTGCTTTCCATGGAGAAGCCAGGCAGGGAAGTCCTAGCTCCCTGGACCCTACAGCTCCTGGGAGCAGGGCTTTGGGTCCACCTCCCACAGCTGGCACAGACCCCTTATCTCAGCCTCTGCCCACATCTCTGCAGCCCCCAAGCTCAGGGCGCTCTACACCTGTCTCGCCCATTCCCCCGAGCCCTGCAGTGGCTGCCAGCACCCTCCTTGCAGACAGGGACGGTTCCTGGAGACAGCATGCAGGATCAGGACCCAGGCTGGGCACGTGCACTGCAGTGTCACAGCTTTTCCCAGGGAGCCCAGAGCCCCACCTGTGACCCTCTCCCAGGTGGACAGGGGTTCCCCAGGGCACCATCAGGGCACGTTTACTGCACCCCTGTGCCGAGCCAGGCAGACACAGTGCAGCCTCCTGGGGGCAAGGGCAGTGTGGCCTTCAGTGAGTCGCACCCTTGGGCAGGGCCCTTGGAGGGGCTATGGGTGGTGTGGGGTGCCAGGGCTGGGCTGCACTCACGAGTAGGGGCTGCTGTCACTCTTGCCAACGTCCGGGGGCCGCAGCTTCTGCACCAGGATTCGGATGATGCAGACGAACAGGACAAAGTTTACCTGCGTGAGCACAGAGGCACTGGGTGTCTGCCTGGCTTCTGGTCACTCCTCCTCCTCCTGGGGACCCCCTGATGTGTACCCCCACCGCCTCAGGCCCCCCACTCTCGTCCTTCGACTAACTGGAGGCGTGGGTTGGTAGGAAGCTTGTAGCCCCAACCATGTCACTTGTTTCCCGTGGGGCCTAGTGTGAGACAGCCTCAGTTTCCCCTCTCTACATGGCGGGAGGAGCCCTTACCAGGATAGAGGTGAGGATTGGGCCCTTGATGATCCACCACACGGGGGTGTTAATGGTGTCCCAGCATCTGTGTGGGGCGTGGGGGAGGAGACAATGTCCTCAGCACCACCCCCCAGGCCCAGATCTGCCCCTCTGGGTCCCCCTGCCCCTCTGGACCAGGAGCTTTGGGCTGGGAGCTGGGCTGGATGAGTGCTGGCAGCCAGAGGCGGGTAGGGTGACCGCTTACCCAACATCCTCAATGTGGATCCTGACGACAGTCCACACCATGATGAATGTGCTGGGCACCCCTGCCAGGGCCAGAGGGGAACAAGGAGGGGAGAAGGCACAGGACACAGGGAGAGGGCAGAAGGTGCAGGGAGAGGGAAGAGGGTATAGGCAGAGGGCACAGGGAGAGGGCAGAGGGTACAGGAAGGGGATGGGGGGATTCCAAAGAAAGAATGGGAGGGGGAGAGAAAGTGGTGAGCTTTCAGAGCTGCTAGGTACAGCTGCTTAGGTTGCTCACTGGGCAAAGATGCTCCTCTGAGAGGCTGTGGAGGTGCCCCAGCAGACAGTCCACAGCCCAAGGGACAGTCCTCTGTAAGCCTGATAGGGCTTCCACTGATGGGAAAGGGGAGGGTGTCCAGGATCCACTGCAGAGCAGCCTCAGGCCACCAGGGTCACATGCCCCAGGGACTTTTATCACCCGCAGGCCCCAAGACCGCAGGGGACCTCTCTAGGGGGTTGCCCAGGCCCTGCCCATGTCCCCAGCCAGCAGCCCTCCCGGGTACCATACCCCAGCCGATGAGAATGTACCCCCAGAAGTACTTCCGCTCCGAGAAGAAGGAGACGGCGAGCAGCATGTGCAGATAGAGCCCCTCCACCAGCAGCCAGAAGAAGTTGGCCATGACGCAGTACTGGAAGAAGACCATGGCCGCCTTGCAGCCCACCTGCAGGCAGGAGAGGGCTTGCTGTGGGTGGGCCCTGGCCTCTCACCTCTGGCTTGGCCAGCCGGTGTCTGTGTGTCTCCGGTGGTTTCCCCATGACCCCTGATTTTCAGATGGTCTGATGCAATTTTAATCATGCGGCCATCTACCCATGCATTGGACAGTCACCACCAACTGGCCTCTCTTCACCTACTGTCCATTTATCTCCCCAGTGGTCCCCACCTGCCACCTGCCTCTCGCTGTATCTACTGACCCGCCCTAGGTGCGGTCCGAGGGGCCTCATCTCTCCTGCCACCTCCCGGCACCACCAACCCACCCATCCCCTCACAGCTGGGCCATTGATCTTATTCCAGCAGGCGGAGCAGCAGGAGGGCTGGGCCGGCTGGAGAAGCTGGGCTGTGTGGGCTGTGGCCGTGCTGTACCTAGCTGGGTGGCGGAGGGAGACTGGGTAGAGCAGAGGGGTGAGAGTGAGGTGGCCACACCCTGGGGGCTTCAGAAGCCAGGGGGAGAAAGGTTCCCGGGCAGGTGAGGACCATGGGCAAAGGGACACCTGCATGGGTCTCAGGGTGGCCAAGCCCGTTCTGCTAATCTAGATGCCCGGAAGCCAGGGCTTAAAACCACCTCTTCCAGGAAGCTCTCTGCTTCCGTCCCCAGCCCTTCCTCCCCCAAGAGCAGTGTCCCCTGCCACCCTGGGCCTGGGATGCCCTTCCACAGGTGACACTGAGTCCCCACTTATAGGCGAGCTTCCTTCCTTCCCTCTCTCCAGCTGCTACACTACAGGATGCCAGTGGGGTGTGCGTGTGTGTGGATGTGTGCGTGTGTGAATGTGTGCGAGTGTGCAGTGCCTGGGGCACGGATCTTCTGCTCTGCCACAGCCCTTTCCTCACCCTACAGCAGCACTCTGAGCTGCTGAGAGAAACCTCCCCACCCCAGTAACAAGCCTGAGGCCGCACACAATGCCAACTGGGTGCAGCTCCCCTACCACGCCCTTCTTGGTTTTCTTTTTTTTTTTGAGACAGAGTCTCCATGTGTAGCTCAGGCTGGCCTTGAACTCATTATGTATTCGAGTTTTGGCCTCAAACTCATGGCAATCCTCCTGCCTCAACCTCCCAACTGTTGGGACTACAGGTGTATACTACTATGCCTAGTTACTCTGTGCCCTTCTTGAGATTCCAAATTCCACCATCATGGGCCATGGTTTGGGAGTCACTCAGGAAGCAGTGAGCCTTTGGCCACAGGCAGGGGAGGAAGCCAGGCTGCCCTGGAGCTTGGTGACACCAGTGAGGGCCCCTGAGCTCCCATCTGGAGGCAGAACCCTCGGTGTCTGTGATGAACTCTCAGGGGCTTTCTTGTCCTCCTGATGGTCTGGCCTGGGCTGACTGGGGTGCAATACAGGGGTGAGGAGCAGAGGGGAGTGTGGTGGGTGCAGCCCAACTGCAGAGGGTTAGGATGGGGAGCAACCAGGGAGAGCTTGCGCAATGGGGAAACTAAGGCAAGATGGCCTCTTGGAAACTCAGCATTGAGGCAGTGTGACAGTTGCCGGGTCCACCCAGTATGCCATGCCCAGATGGCTGCAGCACCACCTTGGAGAGCAGAGGGAAGGTGCCAGGGGCGGAGGAGCAGGGAGGGGAGGGATCTGGGGGGCCTCACCGAGCCCTGGGAGCAGTGGTTCAACTCCTCGCTGTGAAACAGGGTCCAGTCTTTGATGAAGACGGCAGTGGCCCGCAGGATGAAGGACACGAAGAGGTGGGTGTGGATGTAGTTCCGGGTGCAGTGCAGCTTCCTGGGGGCGGCAGAGCTGGGGCACAGGGCTTTGGACCCCGTCCACCAGTGCCATCCTGTGCTCCAGGGCAGCCCAGAGGCACCTCTGACCCCTGCCGTTCAGAGACGGGGCTGGGGGCAGCAGGGGCAGGGCAGACCACCCCGGAAGGTCATAGGCCAGGCCCTGGACTCGGCCTTACCTGAACAGGCTCAAGATAGCAGTGGCCACCAGGAGGGTGGCAAGGGACAGGCTGTAGCCGATGGTGTAGCCGGTCTTCACTGAGTTATAGAATAGGGTCTGCTGCTGCTGGAGGTGAGGGTGAGGTCTTGGTGGGGGCCGGGGCTCCAGACTCTGCCACCTGCCCTGTCCCAGCCGGTGGCCCAGAGCAGCCCCACTGCCCAGGACTGTGTCTGGGGCCAGTGTGAGTCATCAGGGGCCCTTCCCCACCACACTCCTTCTAGGCCAGCCCCCGGCTCAGCCCCCAGGCTGAGACCTCTTCCTGTGTGTCTGGGAGGTGCCCTGCGCAGTGTTCAAGGGGATACTGGGGTTCTTTCCCTTTCGGGGAACCTGGGAGGCAATCTGGGCTTCCTGGAGGAGGCAGCACCACTCTGGGCCCCCAAGGCTTTCTCTTTTTGTCCCCTCTTGATGTCCTCCCAGATGCACTGCGTTTTAGTCCCTCTCCCTCCTGCCTGGGAGGGGTGGGGTTAGAGGAGTTGGGGCCATGGGGCTCCCCCAGGCCTCTGGCCAGGTGTTATCACAGGCAGACACAGGCTACTGAAGGGCCCCCACTGAGGCTCTGCTTGTCCCAGCCCTGCCTGGGCCTCTGCCCTACCGGAGCCCATGCCTGGCCAGACCCCTGTGCTCTGGATGCTGGGGACAAGGCCCTGTCCTGGGCAGAAGATGTCAGACTCTGCACTCTGCCTGACCTGCTGTTGGGCACCTGAGTCTGGCTACTGCCAGGAACTGCATCTCAGCTTCCTCTCTGATGCCCTGCACCCCAGGCTGGTCCTCATGAGTCCTGGGAGCCAGGCTTGGGGATACCTGCAGGGGATACCTGCAGATATCGACCTGCCAGGGACAGAGGAGGAAGGCATGCTGGGCAGGGGTGTGGTGCCCACCTCGTCCAGACTGGACACATTGTCGTCCAGGCCGCAGGCAGCAGGGTAGGGGCCAGGCTCCAGCTGTGTCCAGCCCTCATCGGTGCAGCTTCGGCTCACGTTAAGGCCTAGGTGGGGACAGGAGCAGCGGGAAAAAGCTGAGACGGGAGGGGGCCCAGTCCTTTGAGTGGGAAGCAGGCAGAGGACTCGGCCCAACTCCTCCAACCCTGGCGCTGTTGGACCCTGGCTGCCCTGACATGGGGAACCCTGAGGACAGCTGGCGATGGCATCAGAGTGGACGTTCAGGCCTATGCCCTGTGGAGGACAAAGTTGACTCCAACTGTGACACAAACTGGTCCCTTGTCACAGACTCAGCCACAGAGGGTGGGAGTGACTCGGATCCCTGTGGTCGCCAGGTGTGGTCCTCCTTGGCCAGGCTGCACTGGTGGCCCAGCAGAGGGCAGGGTGGGGACGCCCTCTACACGAGTGGGAGGAGTCCTGGTTGGGCTATTCCCCAGGCAAGATGTACCATGCCGGGGCCCAGCAGCAGCCCTTGTGACATGACCTGGAAGTTGAGACAGGCCACGCTGGGCTGCAGGTCACAGCACAGGGACAGGGCTGCCTGGGACCACGGCGCATTCCCCAGCCTGGGGGATCCTCTCAGCAGGGTAGGGTGAACAGACAGTGGGGGGTTGGTGAAGAGTCCCTCCACCGCCCAGGGACTCTCTCCTGAGCCTACTGACACCATCGTCACCTGTGCAGAGCGACCATGTCACCAGCTGTCCCCATCCCTACCACTGCCAGCAGCAGGCCGCCTGCTGTGGACTTCCATGTGTTGGGGCCATGAGGGGACCCCTCCAGCCTGGCCTGTCCGATCTCCAGCCCCTGACAAGGCTGCAGGCTCCGTGCAGCTGGTCTCTGCAGAGGCCTCATGGGGAGGACAGGGCACAGCTGGTATGGGCTCTGGAGCCTCCTGGGTAACCCTGGCCCCACCCTGCACTTTGGAGACCTGTGTCTGGGGACAGAGCCCCTGGGAGCTCAGGGAGGGTCACCGTGCATGGTTCTGTATCTCCAAAGTGCCACTTGCCTGGACACACTGTGGACTCCCTGGCACCATTTCATAAGCCCTAGGCAGCCTTTTTAAAAGCATCACACCCTGTGAGCGAGGCCAGGGTAGTAGGGCTTGGAAGGACGGCTGGGCGGGACTGGGCCTGCGCCTACCCTTGGCCTGGGGTGGGCAGGGAGGACTTGGGTAAAGAAGGCACTGGGCCATGACAAGGACCTGTTTTCTGCCTGGAAGTTGGAGGTACTGGCCAGGCCTGCAGCCCAGCCCGGGTACTGAGCTCAGCCGGGACCTCGATGCCTCCCACTCAAGACAAGGTTTTCCTGGGGCCCCTCTCTGGGGGTGGCATGAAAACTCCACTCTGAACAAAGCTAGGTTTGGGGGTCCTGGGTCCATCGCCAGCATCTATACAGCAGCACGTGTTGTGCATGTGACCAGGTGATGGTGGGCACTCATGTACCAGGCCTGGGACCCACTGCACAAGGGTCTCCCAGGCAAGGACACAGACCCTGCTCCTGACTCAGGTCCATCTGGGCTCCTGGCCTTGGGGCCTGGCTGACCTAGATTGGGGGAGAGTGCACCAGGGCTGCCTCAGGAAGCTGCTCTTGAGGGGACCCTGGGAGCTGCCATGTCTATGTAGCTTGGCTGCAGGAGTCAGTGAGTGGGCTAGGGCTCAGGGACACCCAAGCGCTGGGTCTCCTCTTCTGCAAGCAGCATCTGCCCCTCCTTCCAGCATTCAGGGACCCCTCCATCTCCCTCTTGCCTGTTCCCTCAGCACCCTCTTCCTTACCCCATGTCATCAGTGCCCTCTCTGCCTTGGTCCCCCTCTACCTGGCCACCCAGGTAGAGTACTGGACAGATGCTTCTGGTGCCTGGCTGACCATGGCGCCGTCCTGTGGAATCCGCCTGGGGTGCCCTCCCCCAGCCATCAAGGGCAAACTTGAAGTTGGCATAGGACTTTCTGTTCACCGTTCCAGAACCAGGTGAGGGGGGACAAGGGTGTCCCACAGACCCCACAGACTTGGCTGATGTAGGCCCTGTTTTGGCAGCCAATGTCGCCATCTACCTATTTAACCGTCTTCTTAAATAGCCGACGAAAACACCGTAGCTGGAAACATCGCCGCTGAAGGGCACACAGGCTGCAGCTGGGAAGGGGCCCAGGCCAGCAGGCGGACACTTGTGGGGCTGCCCTCTTCTGGGGGTTTCCACTCTGCAGGCGGCCTCCTCTGTCCTGTCCAGCTTCCTCCCGCTTCCCACAGCCAGGCCCCTTCCTGGGGTGCTCTGTTCTCGGCCTCATTACCCAGGGAGCAGGCATAGGGGTGGCACAGTCCCTGCCCCACCTGACAGATGTCCCCTTCAGAATCAGCGTGGTCGCTCAGCTTGGCCATCTAGTTACCAGGAAACACCTCAGCCCAAGCACAGGGGGGTCCCTCACTGCTCTTTTGGAGCTCCACCCACTGAGCACAGCTGTCTGTAGGTCGAAGGCATTGGGCTTGCAGGCACTAAGCCCTACTCTCATGGCCAGTGGGTGGTGGGTGGCATCTCCTGGGAGGAGCAGCCCTTTCCTTCCCCGCAGAGTCACACTGGGCCAGCCAGTGTGCTCAAGCAAGGAGCTGCAGGCCGTGTCTAGGGACGGAAGGGGGTGCTGCCCAGGATCCTGAGGGGCTGCTGCTATGCTGTGCCATCAGGATCTGCCTAGCGTGGATCCCGAGGAGGCTGGGCAAGGTGGGTGTGACCCTGGGCCTGTGTGCCAGGGTCCCAAAGTCCTCTGGGTCTCCATAGGGCTGCAGCCCTTAACCTGGCTGCACCTGGGCCATGCTGAGATCCTTTGGCCTTCTGCTAGCCCCATTGTACATGCAGGAAACTGGGGTGCAAGGTGGGGCCTGCTGGAGACATACTGGGGTGCTGCCCCTTGTCACCCTGGCCCCCACCCTGCTCCTCTCAGGCCTACTGTTAGGCTGGAACCCAAATGTCTGACCCCCATGGAGCTTCTGGGAATTGAAGCCCAGGAGCTCACATGAGCTAGGCAAGCACTCTGCTGTTGAGCTACATCCTGGGCCTTTTAGAACCTTTATTTTCAGACATGGTCTCGAAAAATTGCTCAGGCTGACCTCAAACTCGAGATCTTCCTGCCCCAGCCTGCCGAGCAGGTGGGGATTCTAAGTGTGTAGCGTACACAGGCTCAAAGGCTCGTGACGTGGAGGCCTGGCTGCAGCTGCTGGGCCTCTTGGGATTGGCTCTGGAGGGCTCTTGCTGGTGATAAGAAGGTGGGGGTCCTGGCCTGTTCCTGAAGGCTGCATGTTGTCCCACCCCTTCCTCTCTAGTCTTCCCTCTCTCTGCTCCCAGGCTCTGTGAGGTGAGTATCTTTCCTCCACTGAGCCCTTCTGCAGGGACACTTTTGCCTGGGAGCTGACGCCCAGTCTAGGCCCACACCGACTCTCCTCTTTCAAGTCATTTCCCCAGGTGTTAGGTGAGAGCCAGGAACCCTGTCCTGCATGAGTCTCCCGCCTGGACTTCTGGACTTCTCCTCCCCTCAGGAACCAGCGGCTGCCCTTACCAGCCTCACCCTGACGGTGGCAGTGTCTGGCTCACACCCTCAGTGGCTCTTCAGTGGACCGAGACGAGGCCACTCCACTGTCCAGGCGCCGAGGCCCCCACTCTGCTCCAGCCACACTGCTGCCCACCATGAGACCAAGGTGGTCTCATGAGGCTGCCAACTGCCTCCCTCCCCTGGGTTGGGTCCGCTTCTCTCCGCCAGTCTCAGCCCCTGTGACAGCGCAGCCTCTGACCCCTACCTGTGTGCTCCCCACCTCCTTGCCTCCTCTCAGACTCTTGATGCCTTGGCCTTTGCTTGTGCCTTGGATCACAATCTGAGTCCCCAGAGGGTGGGCACTGGCCCTTTCAGGGCCCTTGGGATGCCTGGTGGGTTAACAGGTGCCTCTTTGGGAGTAGGAAGAGGGCAGCTGGACATGAGTCTGAGCTGCCCAGCCCCAGGGCAGGACACACCGGGGGTGGATGCAAAGCAGTGTGGCTGCCTCAAGGGTCTCTGAGAGCTTTGGCTCCAGGCAGCAAGACCGAATCCTGAGGGCTCAAAACGCCAGACACACGGGAGCCCTGTGCTAACCAAGCGCCTGGTAGTCACCTACTGGGCAAACACTGGTGAGTCCTCCCTTCAGGTGAGGAGCTAATCAGAGCCCAATGTGCCACTTCAAAAGCTGGACTACTCCTTCCTCACTGGGCTGTCCCGGACTGTCCCAGGCCCCTTGGTTCACTGTCCCGTGCTAGCTGACCCGTGCACTCCACGCCAGCACCCTCCTTCTGCCCTGGGCTCTTACCTCGGATGGAGGAGAAGAGTGTGAAGATGAGGGGACAGGCCAGGACGACCACCTGGCCCCGGGGGGTGGCCGGCCAGCAGGTGAGGTTGTCCCACATTCTGCCACAGCCTGTGGGGTGGAGGCAAAGGATATGCTAATCACCAGGTCAGCACAGACAGGCCCACAGGCACCCACCTCACTCTAGTGCTCTGCTGGGCTCCCCCTTCAGGTCCTTCTTGAGGGGTGCAGCACACCCTGGGGTGTTGTGTGCATGGGAGGAGTCTCATTGTACAGCGATGGGGGCCTGGCCTGTCATCTGGTGGGCAAGCACTGGGGATGCCAGGCTTGGGCAGGCCCAGCAAGGACGGGGTCACAGAAGGGCGCCTGTGCGTTGGAGTTGATGAATGCCTTTGGGGACAGGGAGTGTGTGGCCCTTTGCTCCCCTTTCTGTCTAATCCCAGGCGCTCACTGCCAGGGATGAATGTGTGCAGGGCTTTCACTGGACAGGACGCGAGGTGAAGGACAGAGGACGGTTTGTTCGGGACTTGAGCAAGAGTTGTTCAGTGTTTTGGAAACTTATGTCCCAACAGCAAGGCAGGCTGGGATATCTGAGTCACGGCTACAACTGCCTGTATACATCAATCTGCATTTATGGCGCTCACACCGCCGGCGTCTGTATTTATAGGTACAACCTTCAGACTGCATGCTCTTATCTCCCAGCGCAATCATGCCTGAACATATATAGATCTTTTTATTACAACCCATTTTTTCTTTTACATTACAGCTAGAACATCATTTGCTTTTGGCAGCACCAGGAGTAGCCGTTAGTTGTATGATTTGTTAGAAAACTGACATTTGGAGTTCAAAATTCCTATTGCAAAATTATCAGGAGTGGTTTTAAACATTTCCAAGTGGACAGATTCCACTCTGCAGACACAGACAAGGCTGTTATCCCCATTCGAAAGCAAAAAGTCCCAAGGGGGCCTTGGAGGCTGTCAGTTTTGTAAAAAAGGACTATATGCGTGTGTTCTGAGTTTCATTTTAAATCAGGAAAGGCAGCATTAGAGAATGCTTGGCATAATACGTTAGGGGTGCTGAGCTGACAAGCACTGGGGCACAACTAATTCTTGAGAGTCTTTGCAAAACCCACAGCTCAGCTATGAGCAGTGATGGGGGTGGCAGGCTGCTACACCACCACGAAGCTCTGGGCCTTGAAGGTTCACTGGGAAGGGACTGGTGCCCCACAGGTCTGCTTTACCAGGCAGATGCAGACGCTGTGGCTTTGCCTCTTGAGCACCCCAGCAACCCTGCAGGACAGGACTCCGCAGACCCCTCCCCAGGGAGGCTTAAGTGTCCCTCTGCAGCCCAGGCCCATAGATTTGCTCAGGAAACCCAACCCTGGAGCCAAAGTCAACGCCAGCTGGGCCAAGCCCAGCCCAGCCCAGGTCCGAAGGTTCCCAAGTTCCCAAGCAGGGGGCCTGGGAAGAGGAGTGGAGGGCTGCCTGCCTCAGGGAAGAGCCCCGGGTATAGGGGCTACAGGGCAGCACAGGTGAAGAGGGTGGGGTGAGGTGGGGGGGGAGGTAGTGACCGTAGGTGGCACCTGCAGCTGGAAGCTGAGGACCACGCCTGTGTCCTGGGGCCTCCCTGCCTGGTGTTCCCCAGCTTGGTGGGCTTGCTCTGTCCTACTGTTATGAGCCAATCTCTATGCTGTGCAGGGTGCCTCCTGGCTGTCAGAGCCTGCTGTGGTCTAGGCTCCTGCTAGTAACGCATACCAGTTCTTACACAGCCTTGGTATGTGGCCTTTGTTAAATGAACAGCTTGTTTAGCCCTTCCACTTCTCAGATGGTGACAGTGAGGCCCACAATCGGGCCCAGCTGAGGTCATACTACTGCTGAGGGGTGCAGCCCACTCACGCTCTCCCAGCCCGAAGGTCCCAGGGGTTTCCTCCAGACAGTCATTGCTGCCAGACTCTGTTTATCCCACTCTGGTGGCGCTGGGTGCATCCTGCGTGCAGGCTTCCCATGGCGCACGGTCCCCGATAGGCCTGGGCTTCCTGACTTTCTGGATCCCAGCCCAGGCTGGGGGTAGATTTGGGGCTGGGTTTTTGTCCCTGAGTGGGGACAGATAAAAGGAAGGCTCGGCCTTTGGGAGGAATGTCCACACAACAGGCTGGGCTGGGACGGGTTGCAGGTCAGCAGGTGGGCAGGGAGCTAGGGTGGACAGGCCAGCATGGGGCCACACAGCCAGGAGACTGCTTAGTACCTGAAATGGGTCTGTGTGCCCACTGCCCTGAAGTCTGGGTGAGAGTGCTGAGCTGGGTGACCTGGGGCATCTACCCTGTCTTACAGAAGTGCACACACACAGGGACACACATCCTCTGTGCACACGGAACCCCAGACACACACCCTGAATTCAGCACACGTGCACCTGGACAGATACCTGCAGATGACACCCAGGGAGAGCATGCCCAGAAGACACCTGACATGTATATGCCCTGATGCACAGAGACTCAAGAGTTAGACCAGGGACAGACAGCCCTGGGGGGATACTGGCAGGAGCACCCACATGGTGCCACACCAGGCCATACAGGTCCTGGGCTTACGCTACCCTCCTGTATGCCAGGCCTGGGGCTGCTGCTAAGAGCAGGGTGTTGGCACTCAGCTGGCACAAGTGCCAGGAATGACCTCATCGGGATCACAAGGTGGCCTGGCATAGGGCTGAAGGAGCTACCGTGGGAGCCTCCGTCCCAGGCTGCTCCCGTCCTACAGGTTGGAGGTGGGCCACACAGACCTCTGTCTCAGCCTGAGATGGGCCACTGGGCCCAGGGACCCACCTGCAAGGCCACATGCACTCACTGAGGGGTACAGGAAGCTGAGAGCTGGGAAGGAAGGACATAGGCTGCATACAGCGCTGTGGCCCCAGAGAAGTGTAGAGAGGTAGGATCCGAGGTGTAAAGGGTGCGTGCTGCTTCCGAGACAGGCTGTTAACCTGTCACCCACCTTGGAGAGCCGTGCCAACCTCCAGCCTGACCTTGACTCCCCCACTGGCCCTCTGCTTCTCCCCTGCTGCCTTTCCTAAGCTGGCGTGAGCCAGGGTGCCCACTCTAGCGGAGGGCGCTGCCTTGTGTGGTGATGGCCCTGCCTCCAGGCCAGGGCAGCTGGTACCCTCTTCCTGCTGCCAGGCTTGGACAGGAGCTGGGATTCATCAGCCCAATGGGTGTGGGCCAGGCTGGGGGACAGTGTGGGGACTGGGTGTCACCCTCACCCTCTGGGCCCTGTAGTGACAGAGCCCAGGGCTGGGAGGGTGGAGCAGAGCCTCGGTTTCCTCCAAGACCTGTCTGGACCAGTGCTGCTCTGCACAACCACACTGGCTCTGGTTCCCATGGAGGTCAGTACAGTCCCACACCTGCCTGTCCCACATCAAGCCTCTGCCATGTGACATGCCAGGCTCAGGTCCCAGGCGTCATGATCGCCACTTTTCCCAAAAGCATCAGGAGCTCCACAGAACCATTCTGTGTCCTCCCAGCTGATGGCTGGGCCCTCAGCCCTGGTGTGTGTGTGTGTGTGTGTACGTGTGCACACGCGTGTGCATGTATGTGTAACATGGAGGGCTGGGGCCCATCTGTTCCCAGCTTCTCTCTCTGGGTACAGTCAGCCCCATGCACCCCATCTGACCAGTGGGGAGGGAAGGGGCTGGGACAGGGGTCCCTGTCCAAGTAGCATGGGTGCTGTGGGATCTGAACCCCTCTTCTGTGGCTCTCACCTGTGCTCCCGGTCTCATTCTCCACCTGGCTCTGCTGCAAGCACTCTTCCTGCTGCTGCTCGATCTGCTGCAGGTACTCACACTCCTGCTGCAGTCCCGTTGCCCAGGCGCCCTGGGGACACAGGTGATGGAGGGGCTGGTCAGATGGCCCATGCTCAACTCACATCCAGATGCCCAGAGTGGAGTCAGGACAGATGGAAGCTTCCTGTGTCCTGGGGGATCTGACTTCCAGACTGAATCCCACATTGACTGCAGCCCTCTCAACCCTGCTGAATTCCAGATGTGACCTCAATCCCAGCTGCAGGCCATCAGACCCAGCTCGACCCAACCCAAAACTGCATCCTCTCCAGCCCGCGCTGCACTCCATTCCTGACCTGGGCCCAGCCACTCTGCGGTGCACAGTTCCCCAGCTGGGGTGCCTTGAGCACACTGTCATGCTCCTGGTGGCTTCCTCTCAGTTATGCTGTGGCAATAACCTTGACTCTGGGTGGCTGACTCTGGATGGTGCGAGAGCCTCTTCTGAGAGCCCTGAGCTGGCCCCTCTACCTGTTCCCAGTGTGGCTGGGGTTCCTTGTCCCTGCCTCAGGCTCTCTGAATGTGTAGCTAGTGCTACCTTGTTACAGGGTGCAAATATTGGCCTTCAGCCTCTGGACCAGAACTGGGAAGAATCCAGGCACCTCCTGCATGTCCCTACCCCAGGAGTTGGTATCAGCCCCTTGATCACCAAAATGGAGTAGGGCCTTGGGCCCTTCTTGGCCAGACTCCACCTGCATGCTCTGAGCTTCCTAGTAACTCAAACTACTCCAGATCCACCGAGCGGTAGGAGGCTCGAGGAAGCGGCGGGCCCCTCTGTTTGGTCTCAAGATCTACCAGGCCTCCTCAGCCTCCAAAAGGTGGAAAGAGGGATGGAACAGTCCTAACGTTGCCCCCAGCCTGCATGTGACAAGATGCAGTGGCAGTGGGGAGGATGAGTGTGGAGGTGACGGCTATCTAGGAGAAACCAGAGACAACCAGGCTTGAGAGCTCTTGGGTGGGAAGGAGGTGGACAACAATGTCCTGACAGCAGCTTCTGCCTGTCTCTCTGACTGTAGGGAAGCAGCAGCCCTACATCAGTGTCCTCATCTACACCTGGGGCAGTGGATGGTACAGTCCCCACTGAGGCCCGAAGTGGGAAGTCAGCAAGACCTCTCCAGAACCAGAGGTTCTCAGGGTCTCTCTCAAGCCATTCTTCCCATCTCGGGACAAGGTCCTTGTCTCCCTGACCTCATCTACCTTCAGTGCTGACTTCAATGTTTCTTGAAGTGGGTCTGGGGAAGAGCATAGGTGAGGGCTCCCTTTCCTCTATTTAAAGGGGTTTGCAGGCATCAGAGTACACAGCACCTTGATGGCCAGGCTGAGTGCCACCCCAGGTGGCAGTGAGCCCTGCATTGCAGTTGAGGCAGACAGGTCCAAGCTGAGGGTGCGCAGCTGCCGAACGGGCCACGCTGCTGAGATTCTTCCACCCCAGCAGCTACCTTGTCCCATGCTGGATGGAGGCTTGCACCATGGCTGACATGGTCAGGCCTAAGGAAGGCCTCTTTGTCCAGGATGCCTCTCCCAGCATGCAGCCTCCACTGGCTGTTTGCCACTGGTCCAGAAACTACAAGCACATCTGGGTTGTACCTTGGGCCATTGCCTGTGCTGGTCAGTTGGGTTAAAGTCATGAGCTGGGAAGCTCTTTCAAGTTTGGCATAATGGAAGCCACAGGACCTATTGTGGAGCAGAGCACCATTACCTGGGTAACTGAAAGGAAACGTGGCACTTGTGGGTCCTCTTTCATTAAGGAAATGAAGTGAGGGGTGGCAGTGGAAGGGGTCTGTAGCTGACTCATCCTCAGGTGTGGCACAAGGGGATCAGGTAGCTCCCAGAGGTGGCATCTGAGACAGAAACCTAGCCCTGGCTGTCTTGACTACTTGTGTCCCTGTCGCGGCATCCCTGCTGGTCTTGGAGCACCTCTCTCCTGCGAGTGCCTTCCAGCCCCACCACATACCATCAAGAGGGATCTTCCCACCTCTGGCCCCTTCCCACCCTCCTGATGCCCCTGCCCCTCCTCACCTTCTGCCCAGGGCAATGCACAAGCAGGACATTTCCACCTCCTGCCATTTTTTACTCTCTTCCAGTGCCACATCTCCACTTCATCTATCCAGGAAGCAACTTCCTCCCCTGCTTCCAGACCCTGGCTCTCACGAACTCTCTTCCAGGGGACTGACTTATGACAGGGACCTACGTCTGAGTACTCCTGGCCGCACTCCTTGGCACATGGCCCAAGCCAGGCTACATGGACCCAGAAGGCTTGCTCCTGGGACTCGGGATTAGGCTGTCAGTTCCACTACCTACGGGAACTGTCACGGATGGATGGAGCTTCTGTTGTCACCCTGTTGACAAGTCAAACACAATAACAAAGGCCTTGCCTCTAGCAGCAGGATAGAGAGAAATCAGGCCTCCCATAGCAATCAGCCCGAAGTACCACACCATGAGCCAGTATCTTGACTCATGGCTTGAGCAAGTTGAGTTTCCATCCTTGTAACCCAAAGTGTCCAGCCTTGTGTGTGGGGACAACAGATGCCCTTCCTTCCGGGGCCCCTAAGGCCAAGGCTATGGCCATGTGCTTTCCTGAGAGAGATTTCTTTTCCATTGCTGTGGGACTTAAGGTTCCCAGCAGCTCCTACTTGCCCCTCTCTGGGGGCGGAAGCAAGGGGGTCGAATTCTCCAGCCAACTGTGCTCCTCCAGGGGCACGGCCAGAGCTCTTCCTCAGAGGCAGCTGGGAGGACAGCATGCTGGGCACAGGAGCCCCCGAGTGACCTAGCAGCCTGGGGTGTCTGTGTGTGTGTGTGGGGGGTGGTCTAGAAGTGTTCCGTCTGCTACAATCTGGTGGACTAAGAGGCTCCTTCTGGAGAAGGGCAGAGGAAACGGAGGTCCCCAGAAGGACCTGAGCACATTCCCAGATGGGATGGAGTCTCTGACCTCTCATCTGGAGAGCATCAACTCTTTTCCTCAGTCTTGCCTTGGGCCATTTGGTCAATCATTGTCCTCTGAGGGCCAGGGCCAGGGCAGCTCCCTCTAGTCCTTATCACGGAGGAATTCAGGCAGACTTTGGACTTCCTCTCTCACTTACTTCCCTTTTCTAAACATCCTCATTATCCTTCTGGACTTCAGGCACACACAGAGCATTGGAAAATTCCCTGGCCAAAGACAGCCAAGTCTATTGATCCCAGAAGAGAGCCTGGGGTGGGATGTGGCCAGAGGTTGAGCTTCACGCAGAAGGATATCAGCCTGGTGGAGGTTGGGGTGAGCCAGTGAGAAGCCATGTAAAAGCAGCCCCGTAAGTGGGACTGGTGTGTGCCCTCAGGGAAACACCTCAGTTCCTCCTATGCTCAAGGTCACAGGAAGCCCCAAGCAGCTGCAGCAAGGAGTTCTGGGGGCACTGAGAGACACAGGCAGGGGTGGGATAGGAAAGGGCCTTGAAGGCCACTTTCAAAGAGTGAGCTTTGACTGCTGGGCTATGGGGGGTGCTCAGTATTTGAAGCAGGGTAGGAGACGCACACTTAGCAAAGACTCCCCCAGGGGGCAAGTGGTGCAACCCAGGGGACCATGAGTGCTCTGGGGACTATGAAAGGCAGTATGATGGATCTGGGGACTCCGGAGAAAGAATCTCCTGCCTGCATATTGCGTGGCACTGGGAGGCACCAGGGATGACTTGTGCTCCTGAGGCTGCCCACGGAGTGGGCCCTGTTTCCCTGCCTGGGCCCAGCAGTGGCGGCATGGGGAGCAGGGGCAGGATGCTCAGGAGTGGTCCTACCTTTCCATCACCTCCCAAGATCTTCTTATGTCTCTCCCTGCCTGAAATCTTGGGCAACAGAGGCAGAGGGAAAGCGAGGCAGCAGAGAGCACACGTGGTGTCCGAGGCAAGGGGAGGGGAGAGGAGGAAAGGGTAGGATGGGAGGAGGGCAGGGAGACTGCAAGGTGAGGCAGATCACAGAGCCCAGGGGTCACTGGGAGGAGAAATAGGCTCCCCATGTCATGGAAGGCATACCAAGAAGCTGCGGAAACCCTCGCCTTGCTGTGAGAAGATGAGAGGAGCCCTCTGGGGTGATGGGAACACAGGGATTTGATCTGGGCAGTGGCCACACTCCTGCGCCATCCTGACAGTTCAGAGCTGTCATCTCAGAGCTGTGTGTTCTGTTAATTAACAACTGTCTCTGAGGCGGCAGGGCAGCCACGACCCCTCTGGAAGAAGTAGCACCTCTTGGTTCAGCAGACCCTCTGAAGCCCAGAATGAGACAGTCACTTCTTCTTGCTGGGTGACTCGGGAAATGTCCCCAGCCTCATCTGTAAAATGGGAGCACTCACAGTGGCTCGGGCTGCTAGGATTGTGTTGAACGGTACACGAAAATGACGCAGCCTGGCAGGAGAGACGCCTTCAAGGGTGAGCAGCGCTCGCCAAAGTCCCAGCTGGCCCCCACACCTAATCCCCTATGCACGCCTGAGCAGGCCGAAGTCTTACTTGCTGGATGATTAGCCACCAGCACAGAGCTCCTGCATCTCTTTGCTCCTCTCACCTGCTGGCATCTGCTGTCTCTTTCCTTTCCTGTATTTTACATCCCTCTGCCTGCAGCCCAAAGCCTCTGCTCTGTGAAAATCCAGATTCTGCAAACCATGTCCCTTGCTGGGGGGTCTGAGCTGGGTGTGGTAAGCTGAGGAGAACTGGGGTGCGCATGCACCAGTGTGCACAGTGAGGAAGAGCAGGAGCTGCAGGGCACAGGTCTGGTACAGGGGCAGGACTTCCCGGACCCCTGAGCAGCACTATCAGGGCTCTTGTCATTAGCAGGATCCAAGCAAACCCCTTTAGCCTTTTCCCGACTCCAAGAGCTGCTCAGAGGGCTTCTCTTAAGGACTCAGGCCTTTAAGGCTAAATACTGGGCTTAAGTCTTCTGCCTCTGAAAGATTCCTGGGCATCTCTGGGAAGTAGGATTTACAGTGTGTGGGCAATGCTGGGGTAGGGGCACCTGCAGAGGGTCAGGCACTGGCAGGACAGCACAAGGCCAAGTCCTCGATGCAGGAAGCTGGCAGGTGACCTTCTCCTCTCCTTGGTGAGCTGGTATATAGGAAGAATGTGACCTGGAGTTGGAAAGGAGGAAGCACTTCCAGAGAGACATGGATCTTCCTACTGGAGCCACAGAGAAGGGGACCCATGTGAGCTCATCCTTGCCAGCTCACATGTGTAGCCCCAGTCACAGACTTGGAGATAATGAATGCTAGATAGGAAGGAAACTTGCAGTTTTGTTAGGTGCCACAATACCATCACATTATGCAGGCAAACATCTTTTGGTTTTAGATATGCATCTTGAAATAACTTGGCATAAAAGGTCAGGATGTTTATAATCGACCTTAACATACTCTAGCCAGAAAAGTAAATAATGCAAACATTAATTGTCAAATGTTAACACTTGTCAAACCTCGGAAGTGGGTATCTGCATGTTCGTGATACTATTCTTTCTACCTGTCTTATCTGTTTGAAAACATTAAAAGCAAAGCAAAGCAAAGCAAAACAAACCCCAAACACCCGTACATGTGGTGGAGAGATTAAAACTTTTTTCTCTTTCCAAGTGAAGTAAGGCGTGGGCGTCAGAACATGCTGCAGCTTCCCCACGTGCAGGGAGAGCCCATCTGTGTTGGGCAGTCAGGTAGAGGGGAGGGGGACCCCGAGGAGAAGGCCAGGCTCCTTTAGTCAGCAGCCTGTCCTCACAGTGGCCTGCAGTGGGCACTGCTGTGGCAGGAGGTGCAGGCTTGGGCCTGTGAGGGTGTCACAGCCCCAGCCACATCACCATGGGGGCTGCCTGTGCTGAGAGGTCCATTGCCTGTCACCTCCCTGGGCCTGGCCCCTCTGGACACCTCCCCTCCCCTGCTCCCAGACTGGCACCAAAGGGAAGGCATGCCTGTCACACAGGTCACCCTAACACTTTGACCACTTTCCTCCTTCCATGCTCCCAGAAATGCTGCTGGGACCCAGAGCACTGGGGAAGGTGGTGTCTGGTCAGGAGGAAGACATGACTGCTTGGGGCACACAGCTGTCCTCCCCAGCCTAGCCCCATCCTCCCACTTCCCCTGCACACTGGGTCAAAAATTTCCAGCTTCTACTATGAGGTGAGGAACAGGCCCTGGCTGTGGAGTAGGATGGGGACCAAATTTCTTGTCCCTGGTGGGGACTCCCCAGGGAAGGTAAGTCCCAGGTAAGGAAACCTCCCCAAGGGCATCTTCTTCCAGCATGGCCCGGGCCCAGTAGCCCATGGGGCCCACTGCTTTGCTCCTGAACAGGTGGCCTGACTCTGTGGCAGCCATGTCTCTAAGGCGCCCAGGGTGGCCTTCTGGGCCAGAGATGCTGGCAATGGGGACAGAGGCCAGGGGCCTGTGGCCAGGCAGGGCCTTTGGCAGCAGGTGGCCAGTGCCCTGCTGCATCAGGAGCCACCTTCGTACCTGAAGAACTGTGGACTCCCCCCCACAGAGGTGGTTTGTGGTCTGTGCTGGCCTGGCTCTTCCAGAGAGCACCCCACTGTCCAGCTCAGCAGCCCCTCCTGCAGCGTGGGAGGATTGCCCCCCACACCCAACTGGGCTCTGCCTGCTGCACCCCTAGCCCAGGACCCTTGCGGGGCCTAGGACGGCTTATCCCTGCCTCCCCACCCCCACCCCAGCTCTGTGCTGTGCTTCTGTGAAGTGAGGAGTTCCCGGTCCCTGCTGTCCTGGGCAGGGTGGAAGGCCTGGTAGGCGGGCCGGGCACACTTCCGCTGAGAGACACTGGGTTTTCTTTCCTTTTTCGCTTCCCTGTTCAGAGATTTCCCCTTCCCAAGCTGAAGTCAGAACCATAAACAGGAGCGATAAGGCTTTGGGCCTTCAACCTGAACTTTGCAGCCACTTTATGACTCAATCACCGCTGCGTCCCCCAACTCCAGAGTAGGCTGGAGCAGGACCACCTGGTGTCCACTCCAGGACTAAGGGAGATGGGCCCCTTACTCCAGCCTGGCCTCCTCTTGTCCTGGCTGAGTCTCTCCCGCCCTATGGACTCGGCTCTGCAGAAATGGGAGTGATGAGAGCTCCTAGCCCAGATCCTTTAGGGTGGGAAGGGAGGAGTACAAAGGGTGGGGTTGGCTGGGCAGCTGGGGGACAGAGTGGCCCAGTGTGCCAGGCCATGCTCTGAGAGCTCTGCTCTGGACTCCAAGCCTCCAGCAATGCAGGCGGGGTGTGATGTGGTTCCCAGATCCTTGCCCATGCAGTTTGAGGGGCTAGGGGTGCTGGTGCGGTCCAAAAGCTCAGGGACACTCAGGGCCAGAGCTGGGGCCTTGGGGTCAGAGCCTGGAGGAGCAGGGGTCTCATGGGTATCAGGGGGAAGGGGATCCTAGGCCAGGTAATGAGAATCCTGTCTCCAGGGTGTGGAACACACCAGCTAGATGGACATGCAGATTTGTGCCCTCTGGTGGGGGTCACAGAGGTGACCAAGGGACAGAACGGATCAGGTGGTTGAGATCCCTGTTCTCCCCAGGCAACTCGGAGCCACTCCCAGACATGGAGCCTGCAGGTGGTCAGGGCTCTATTCAAGCAGCAGCTCAAGTCAGCTCCAGCACAGTAGATCCGCCTCTGCTGGCCCTGGGGCGGGGATAGGAGTGCACAGCAGGGCTCAGAGTCCCCAGGTCTTCCCTGCTCTCACAGGTGGCCCAGTGACTGCCTGGATCCTGTGAGCAGTCTCAAGCACCCACATGTGGGCACAGGGCCCTGGTGTCAGGGGCCCACACATCCCCGGGAGAAGCAGGGGTGGGAGAAGGCCGGCAGGTGGACCCCTGGCTGAGGCTCGGCTTTTCTGGGCACGCCTGGCCCTCCAGCAAGACCCCACCGCTGCTCACCACCACCAGCCTCGAGCACCAGGACTTCTCTGTTGTCCCAGGGTAGGAGGGCAACAGAAAGGGGTCTCCATACACACAACGCCAAGGACACTGCAGGGCCAGGACATCCTGACTTGGGGACGCCCCAACCCGGGAGCACCCCAGACCTAGGGACAGCCAAGACAGACCCGGCGACAGCACAGACAGACCCGGGGCGCCCCAGACCCGGGGCACTCTAGACACGCACACCGGCGCCCTCCCGTCCCCGTCCCGCCCGCGGCGGCCTCTCCTCACCTACGGAGCCGCCTGTGCACGCGGGGCGCCACGCGGGGACACCGGACGCGACTCGCACCCTCACCCGTCGGGGCCGGGCCCGCGCGGGGAAGGCAGAGAACCGGTTGCCGGTGCCCGCTGCTCTGCCTGCACCCGTCCCGGCCTCTGCAGACGCGGACGGCCCGACCCCACGCACCCGCCCGGTACGCCCACTCACCGCGGTTCCCAAGGCGCAGGCGAGCGCAGCGAGCACGCAGGGCCAGCAGGCGGGCGGCGGGCGCATGGTCGCGAGCGGCGCGGACGGCGGCGGGCGCGCGGGTCCCGGTGCCGCCGGCGGGGGCGGGGGTGCGGCTGACGGGCGGCAGGCGCGGCCAATGGGCGCCGGGGGCGGGGCTCCGCGCAGGTGTGGGCGGTGTCTGGGGGGGTCCCGCGGCTTGGCCACCGCCTCCGAGAAGCTGTCGTCGCCACCGCCGACGAGAGGTCGCTGCGGTGGGCTCCACCTCCGCGTCCCACTGCGTCCCTGCTATTCGGCCATTCTGTGTCCCACTGCCTGCCCCCCGCCCCGTATCCTGCGTGTCCTGCCAGGTGTCACCTCCGCGGCCCGCCCGCCTGTCCTCGGTCTCAGCTGCCCTCGGAGCGGGACCCTATGCTCTCAGAGGTCCTCAGACCGCGTCACTCATGGTCGCGCGTGGGGCGCGGGTCTGACCCTTGGTGGGCCAAGGTCGGCAGAGTGGGGCTGCTCGCGTCCTCTCGTGCAGGGGCAGTGCCGGCTCCCGGTGGGCTGCAGCGCCCTCCCGCGGAGAGCAACTCGGGAGACCGTCCCAGGGCGGGGCCGGGGGCCGGGGCCCATCCCCTCTTCTGGGGTCCTCCGCTCTCCCTGGCCCTGCGCGGTCATTACTCTGAGAAGCCCACGCAGTGCTGTGGCGCAGGGCCCTTGGGGAAACGCGGGGAGACAAGCCCTGGCCTTGCCTTTCTGGAGCTGGAGGACCCCTGTGAAGAGAGGAGCCTGCCCTGGCTCAGAGCTTCCTGCTCAGGCTCAGGTCTCCACGGGGCAGAGGGCTCCTGACCTGGTTCTGAGCAGTCATGACTTCTGCTGGCCCGGTGTCCTGGGAACTCACGATGTGAAGAATTAGTCTGCTGTCGTCCCACCCAGTCCCTCGTCTCCAGGCCTGGGACGTCTGCCTTTGAGGACTGGATTTGGGGACTTGAGAGTGGACTGAGGGCATGCGGATTTGGAACAGGAGGCAGCCAGACCCTATGTTGCCACAGGACCCTCCTGGGGCACGGGCAAGGCTGGGGAAGGCTTGAAGGCTGCCAGCCAAGAGGACTGTCCTCAGGCCAGACTCCGAGGGACCACATCCCTATGCCACCTGGTCCCTGCTCCCAGCCAGGGGAAGGCAGCTCAGGGAGCATCGTTTTCCTGCAAACTCTGCCATGAAACTGCTTCTTGGTTGTTTCTGAGTCGTCCTGGCCGGGAGCCGCTGTCCACTCCGTGGTAGCCAGCCTGGAGTCTGCCCTCATGCTCCCCACCTGTCCCAAGCATGAGCCCCTCTGCAGTCAGCCTCTGCCCTGACAGTGTGGCCCAGGAGGAAGCAGGCACTCCTGCCCTCTGCTTCCTGATTGGGACCTGGGAGGAGACACAGACACCTTGTCCTCTGGTCCCCTTCCTGTGTGCTTGCTCCTAAGAGCTCTGTCTCTCCTCCTGGACTCCCAGAACCTAGGGTTTGGCTCAAGCCCTACCCTTGCTCCGGTTGTCAGCATGCCAAGGGAGCCATGGATGCAGGAGGTTTGGGAGAGGGAGGCAGTCACTTGCCATCCCCCGTGACAACAGGCACAGCGGGAGAGTCACAGTTACTCATGCAGAACGCCTGGCTTCCTGCCCGCAGCATCCCTGTGTGAGTGCCACCCGCGCTGCCGTAGCCCTGCGACACCTCTCAGAACCCAGAATCGTGCTCTGGCTGCCTCCTTGAGGCGCAATTGCAGGAGCTTAGTGGTGGCACCGAGGTTCCTGCAAAGGGCAGCTGGGGACCACAGAGGAGACCTGACCTACATGATGAGGGCTAGGCTAGGACCGGAGGAGTCACCACCCCAGGGTGTCCCCGCAGGCTACCTACAGTGCCGCCTGGATGCTGACAGCCTCTTAAGCTCTCTACTTCCTGTGGGGAGGCGTCTTTACTCCAAACTGTGATAGCACAAGTATCATTTGTCCCGCATGTGTCTCCACCTGCCCCATCTGACCCAGGACGAGTGTGTGACGTAGATGTGTCCCCTTCAGGGGAGCCTAGCATGGCTTAGGCAAGAATGGTGGATCATTTGGTAGCACGGCAGCTGCACCTGGAAGAAAACAAATTCATGGAGTGCAGGCAGTGGGGGAAGAACTGTGCCCAGGGTGAGTGTGGAAAAGAAGTACAGGACCAGCTCCAGATGGGCAGCTAGGGCTTGTGGACAGGACCAAGGGCAAGTACATCGGTTCAGGTTGCCCAATGAGCAGATGCTGTGATTTGGAAGATAGAGGAGAAGGCAGGAAGGGGCAGGGACATCCTCAGGCTATGTGGCAGATCTGGAAGTTTCTGCCACCTGTCGGTGACCTCCAGAGCAAAGAGCACCCAGAGAGGGCCTACGGAGGGGCTGTGGGCACTGCCACAGAGCAGGGCAAGTTCCGTCTTGGGAGATGTGTGAGGGATACACCTCGATGGCTGCCGCAGTGGGGAAACTGAGGAGAGGGAAATGGAAGGGCAGAACTACTCTGCTCTGGGGACAGAGACAGGTGACCGTAGACCTCCTTTGCTCAAGAGCTCAGGGTTCAGTGTGGTGGGCAGTCAACAGGCAGCCCAGCATGGGGCCATGGTGCAGGGACTCTAGGAAACTCTAGGGAGGGCTGCTCCTCTCCTGTCCTTTTTTGTCCTCTGTCCTCTCTGACGGCCTCAGTACAAGGTGTGCATGTGTGTTCGTGTGCTTGGCTGTGTCTTTATGAGAGCATGTGTATATGTAACCTAGTGTAAGGGTTGTCCTCTGGTCCCCTGTCTGCTACCCTGTCTGCTCCCAGCTGGGAGGTAGTGCAAGGCTTGGCCATGGTGATGGCTTTGATCTGAAACATGCCAAGCTGGGTATGGTGGCACATAGCACTTGGGAGGCTGGGGAAGGAGGATCACCATGAGTTTGAGACCACTTGGACTACATGGACCCTGTTTAAAAAAAAAAGTCCCCCTGAAAGCCTTGTGCTAAAAGCTCAGTTGCCAGCCTGGGGCAGTCTTGAGGGGCCCTGCGTGGTTGGAGGAAGGAGCTCCTTGAGGTGGGGGGGGGGGACTTAGAAGGTTGCACCTTCCTCCCACCACCTCTGACAGGTGGGCAGCTTTGTCTTGCCAACCCTTGCCTGCCAGCCCAGAAACAATGGAGCCAGCCAACCATGGACCGAAACTCCTGAAACTGTGAGCCAAGATAAATATTTTCTCCTTTTGTTGAGTTTCTCAGGTGATTTGTGTCAGTGGGTGGCTGGAGAGGTGGAGTTGGAGCAGGGTTCTCAAGCTGGGGCAGGGGATGGGCCCAGAGATATGCCCAACACCAGAAGGGGCTCCTTCCTGGGGGCAGCAGTGCTCTGTGGGGCACTCTGTGCCCAGAAGAGCTCCGATTGAGTTCTCATGCTCTGCCCCCTTTCCCACCCTGCAGCCCTGTGGACTGAGAGGGAGCCAACCCCAGGCAGAGGCTCAGGAAAAGGGAGATTGTGACAGCAGAGTCTCGGTCTAAGTAACATGATTGACGCCATCAGAGATTAGAGTGTTAACTGATGGCCATTGGCTGGCGGAAGGAATGGGCCTCTATGGGCAACTCTCAAGCAACTGAGTAAGGAAAAAGTGAAGCTGTGCAGACACCACTGAGCGACTGAGTATGTGGAAGGGAGGGCTAACCCAGGGAAGGCAGACGGTGTGCAGGCTGTGAGGTCAATAACTAAAGGAGTGAAACTGAACTCATACATTGTGTAGGAATAAATAATAATGTGTATCAAAACCTGAAAAATATGGACATTACACAAAGAAGAACAATTGTAACCGTCATTAGATATACTACAAGCAAGGTAGACTGAAAATTAGTGAACTAAGTTTACAACTAAAAACAGTGGAAGGGAAACATTAAATCTGGAGAATGGAAGGAATTAGTAAAGGTAAAAACAGAAAGTAATGGAATCAAAATAAGGTGTTGAATGAACGAGTGGAACTGTCCCCTTAAACAGGCGTCTGTTAGTTACTTTTCTCGTTGAGTCAAAATACCCAGTACCCACAAGTGAAGGAAGGAAAGGGTTAGGTGGCTTAGAGTTTGTGGAGGGTGTGGCCCAGTCAGCTGGCTCCAAGGCAGAGTGGCCTGGCAGAAAAGGAATGGTCCGTGGCAGGTACAAAGCAAGCGAGGGCCTTGCAGTTTCTTTAACCCCTTTTGTATCCTGTCTAGCCTACTAGGATTAGGCAGTGCTAACCCAATCAGTGGATTGATCCCCTAATGGCCGACCCTTAATCCCAGCACCTTGAATCTTAGCACTGCACTGTGAATCACTCAACTCACACGCTCTAGCTCCAGCCACCTCTGGAAAAGCCTTGTCTGTGACTGTGTGACGCTTTGGTGGAGGCATCTGAATACAAGCCATTACAAGGCTAGTAAATAGATAAATAGTTTGGCAAGCCTGATTATGGACAAAAGTGGAAATATAGAAGGCAGGGGACACAGTTCCAGGATAAAGAAAAATTTAAAACTGTGAGAGAATGATATCCTGATTGTTCAAACATCTAGGTGATGTTTGATTATTCAAGGTATTATTCAATCTTTGATTATCCAAACATATAGGTGAAATGGGTGCTTTTTCTGGAGAAATATTAAAGTTGCCCCTAAAAAAGATACCAGGCCCTCATGGTTTTACAGGAGGATTCCATAAGCTGTGAATGCACAGATAATTCCCAGGTAATGGGAATGTTGGCAGCCTGCTCTGTGAGTGGTGTATGCTGATGTTAGAACAATGCAAGGACGGGGCAAATGAGGAAAATGGTAATTTCACTAGTAATTCAGTAGGTATCAGTAAATATATTTATGAATTTGACATAATGTAATGTGATGTTTATTATTTGACTGATATTTATACATAAACATAAGAGCAAAAATCAAGCACTTAGGAAGCCAGTGAACGAAAGTTGTCATCTCCACGTGCCCAAGGAGGAGTGGAAGGTCTGTTGCCTGCTCACCTGTCTCTGGTGGATACTATGGGCCATGGCTGGGTGAGGTGGGGCACCCAGGAGTGTGTCTTGCTAGTGAGGGTTTCCACCAGAAGTGAGGACCTGGCTGGTGACATGGTGCCTGCACTTGGTAGGGCAGATACTCCAGAAGGAGATGGGCCCAATGCCCAGCTCCCATGGGCAGAATAGTGGATACAGCCCAGACCTGGAAAATGTGGGCATGGCTTCTGTCCTGGTCCTTGGAGGGCACAGTGGGAACACCCACTTGGCCTCCTCGTGTCCCAGCAGCAGGACTGAGGATTTGTCGCGGGGCTTCTGCAGTGGCTGCTGAGTGAGTCTCTCAGTGGGTACCATGGCCAGGCTAGCTTTAGGACTGGCAGAGACAGTGAGAGACCTGAACTTGGTTGGGAGAGCCTCGCTCTGCCCGCCTCTGTCCTCCACCTCAGCCACAGGCGTCCCACAGAGAATGGCCCTGGGTTCCTGTGGTCGGACTGTGGTCACGGGAGATGCTTCTTCCTGTGGTCTTCACTGCCCCAACTGTGGCTGGAGTCCCTGCCCGTCTCTGCCCTCTTCCTCTCTGGGAGCAGCTGCCTTTCCTGCCTGGAGATAGGGCCATGTGTGGTCCTAGGCCCTCCTCAGAGTGTCCCTGATGGCTGCCTTGGATGAGGATTGTGATCTGCAAAGCGAGGTCTCCCCCACAGCCTTTCCTTCCCTTGGGAGGGGCCTCAGTCCACAGGCTTGATTCAGAGGCAGAGCCTGCCTTTACCTTCGTAACATTGCACCCCTTCCTGCGGCGGTTGCACTGCGCAGGGGTGGGGGATTCCTTTCCTTCCATGCCCCCTTGGTTGATAGGCCCCAGCCTGGTCAAGGTGTTTATGGGCAGCTTCCCTGTGACCTTCTGTCCCTTGAGGTTGGTGGGGGGGGGGACAGTCTAGTACCACTCCACCAAGCAGTCTGGTGGAGTCACAGAAAATCCCTCTCCTGCTCCTCTCCAGTGCTGGGTACCCCAGCAGGAAACCTCTGGTGGCTCCTCCGAGCCCAGCCTCCTCTGGGTGAGAGATCATCTGCCCAAGAGAGGACAGCTTTCCAGGGGGAAGAGCATGGAGGGGGCCTTGCCAGCCACTGTGTGTCCCCGCCCGACCTCCTCCAATCAGATTAGGACAACCTCAGAGGAGGGGTCCCCAGAAGCCCTCTCTTCCCTCTGGAAGAGATGGAGAGGGGCCAGGTGGTATGGACAGAAGGGGATTGGACTGGAGCTGCTGGCAGCTGGGTCACAGAGGACCGCGACTGAGAGGGACACTGCACACGCAGGCCTGGGCCAGGGAGAGAGACTCATGAATGCAGAGAGTGAGAGGAGCGGGTAGAAGAGGAGGCAGACGCTTGACAGGAAGGAGCAGACAGGCTCTGCCTCCTGTTCTGGGTCAGCTGCATCTCATCCTTCGGTGGGCGGGTGAGCGTCATGCAAGGGCTCAGTACCTCGCCTGGGAGGTACTGAGAGTTAGTGGTGCTTGGCTGAAGAAGGAAGGTCCCTGTAAGTCTGATGGGGGCACAGGAGATGCTTCTTCCTGTGGTCTTCACTGCCCCAACTGTGGCTGGAGTCCTGGCCCGTCGCTGCCCTCTTCCTCTCTGGGAGCAGGTGCTTTTCCTCTCTCTTTGCTTCCTGACCTCTGTGAGATGACCTGTCCCCTCCTCTGTGTACTCCCATGGTCATGTTCAGCCTTGTCAAATTCACAACAGCAAGAGCCGGTGACCATGGACTGAGACCTCTGAAACCATGAGCCAAATCTTTTTATTTCTGATGGAACCCAGCACCTCAGGAATGCCAGGCCAGTGCCCTAGGACAGTGCAGCCCAGCCCAACCTTCCCTCTTTTGAAGCATTTGCTCTACGACAGTGATGGGGAAGCCAGCATACACCGCAGGCCAGCTCGCCACCCACCTGCTCCCCAGCCCTTCCTTCTCCAAACCCAGCATCTGGGCTGGGTATTGATCTTGTTCTTTACTTCATCTAAAAGAGCTCCAAACCAGTGTGGTAACACACACCCTATGATCCCAGCACTCAGGAGGCCGAGGGAGGAGGATTGCTGTGAGTTTGAGACCAGCCTGGGCAACAAAGTGAGTTCAAGGCCAGCCAGAACTGCATAATGAGATCCTGTCTCAAAAAAGAAAACAGAAAAAAAAAAAAAAAAAAACCTCCAACTATAAGACGTGGATTAAATAATACTTGAACACTGCTGAGCCCATCACTGGTTTATTTCCTCCATGTGGAATCAGAGCACAGCGTGGTCACTCCCTGCGTGTTGTCAGGAGGTTTCTAGAGAACAAGAATCCCAGTGCTGTCCCAGACAGTCTGCTCTTCCCACCTGCAAAATGCTAGAATTCCTTCCTGGAGTGAATAACCTCAGGTTAATTCTCTCCCTTGCCTTAGGGTATTTTTTTAACCACTTGTTTTATAAAATGATTCATGCCCTAGGATTTAGTACCCAGAGACCCTTCCTCAGCTGCCTGCCTTCTTTGGAAGAAACTGGATCACTGGTCCTGATGCCTTTCATGGGATTTGTTTGTCCCCTCTCTCTCACACTGACTGTTTGGAAGAGTCAGTGAGGTTCCTGCTTGCCCTAGTTCCTTTATTTACTTATTTATTCTGAGTTAGGGGCTCCCTGTGTAGTCCATGCTGGCCTCGAACTCACTATGTAGCCCAGGCTGGCCTTGAACTGCAGTGATCCTCCTGCCTCAGCCTCCGCAGTGCTAAGCAGGCGTGAGCTACCATGCCCGGCTCTCCCTGGATCCAAGTGTGCCCTGGACCCCAGTGATCTGGCTTCCAGCTCCTGTCTCTCCTGCTGCCTCCCATCCCTCTGGCTGTGCTGGCCTCCTGAGAACTGACCCCTGAACTTGCTTGCGCCTGAGTCTGCCCTGCCTCCTCTGCAGGGAATGTTCTTCCCCTAGGACCTGGGTGGCTCTGAGCGCTCTCCTGTCATTGAGCATGGAAAAGCAACTCCGAATGTGTGTCCTGGCTCAGCGGCTCCCTCCCAGCACCCCCTGCCTCCCAGACCCGTGCTGTCTTCCCGGGAGGTGGCTCTATTACTCACTGTTTATTTCCCTGCCTGAGTGGAAGCCCCACAAGGACAGGGAGGCAGGAGCACATCATATTGTGTGCCCCAGGTGGGGCCAGCACCCCAGAACTCATCTCTTTATAGTAGGGCGCGGGAGGCTGTCTTGGCCCTGCCTCCCTCAGTCCCCCAGTTTCTAATGCTATGCTCTCACCTGCTGTGAGTGATAACCCTTTCAGTGAGGAGGTTCCTTCCTTGGTGCCCAGGGCTCCCCTAGCCTCTACCCAGCTGCCTCTGCTGAGCTCTGCTACTTGGCCTGGCACCTTGGCTGGGCGGATCCTTCTGCCAGGAGCAGCTTTCTGCGGAAAGCCCCTTGGGGGGCTTTGCTGCAGCAGCCACGTGCTGGAGTTGGTGTCAGTCACCCTGCTGTGGAATTTGGGGGAAGGACAAGCCCAGATGGGCTGGGACTGAGAGCAGTGGCTGGGCCGGCAGCCTTTCCTATAGCTCTGACTTTGACTCGGCCTGACCCGTGGCTGCAGGGCGCCTCCCTGCCCAGTTACCTGTGACCCGAGGCTGACCCCTGACCTTAATCTCAGGCCTCTGTCCCGGGTGACCTCTGCTCCCTGTTGGCTCTGATCACCAACCCCACCTGCCCTGCCCAGCACAGAGGTGGGATAGGTGTGGCTGTCCCTGTCACTGCCGCCCCAGGCCACAGTGCCTAGACAGGAGCCTGGGCCCCAGCTGGGAGTCTTAGGGTCCCTGGGCCACTGCCTCCCCTGCCCTTCCTCTCCTCGCCCTCCTCTTTGGCTCCCTATGGCGCGGCTCTGCATATACCTGGTCAGGGCCTCCAGGCCAGGTGCCAGGGCAGGGAGGAACCTGCCGGCCCGGCCTGGCCTCTGTTTGCACAGGTCTGGGTAAAAATAGCCACAGCCACGCACGCTTCTGCTGCTTCCTCCTCAGCCTGGCTCCTGCCCTGGCTGTCACTGGCCAGCTGTCCTGCCCCCGGCCTCTTCTTGCCTGGAACAGGACAACGCCCAGAGGTGGGGCCCGCAAAGCCACCCCTGCCGACTCCGGGAGTACGGTTGGTGGCTCCATGTCACAGTGGTCCCAGCCGGTCCCAGCACTCGATGATGTGGTGACTGATGCAGGTGACAGCGAGCCAGAGGGTCCTGGGGCTCAGCATGTAAGTGTGGCCTCCATGATAGCTTGGGCCTTTCAGAGTGCAGAGAGCAACCCCATCCTTCACCTGCTGTTCTTTTGGTCTCCATTACATGGGACTGAGGCTATATCCAAACTAGGCAGCATCCAGACCTCCCCCAACCCTGCAAGAGAGAGCTCTCCTGATGGAGGTCACAAGGAATGAGCCCCCCAAACAAAAAGCAAGCGGAGGCCTACAGCAGAGGCACTATGTGGCCACTGCTCACATGCGGTGAGGTTGGTTGGTGGCTTGCCGGCCACATGTGGCCTCCCATGACTTTTGGGCCATCCCCCAGTCTGGTCTTTCATGGTCACATGGTGTTCTTGCTACACCCGTGTCTGTCTCCAAATGTGCTAGAATGGGGGTCATTCCAGATGAGGGCCATCTCATCAGACTCCCTTTACCTCCGTCAAGATCCTGTATCCTGATTGTGCTACTTTCTGGGGTCCTGGGGGTTGGGAATTCAACGCATGAAATCTGGAGGAATGGGACTCAGCCCATGACCGTCATCCAGTGTAACAATCACCCCAGAGCTCATCTCTGGTGGGGCAGCAGCTTGGGGGCGATGGTGGTGCTGGTGGCGGGGTGAGCTGGCAGTTGTCCTCTGAAGGTGTGTGATGGGGCGGGAGGCTCTGCTTCCAGGAGATGCACTGCATGGTGCTGGCTGAGGCCTTTGTCCTTACCCGGACCCCCGTGGGCTGGCCACGGCATTTGAACTGGGGATCACAGTAGCCAGCATGCTTTTTCTGACCGGCGTTGGGAGCTGTGCATGGCCCTTCTGCCCTGTCCTCTTGATCACAGGGACTGCTTCTGTCAGAGCTGGAGGAGGCTCCTCGAGGGAGTCCAGGGAGGGTTTGGCCCTCGTCCCTGGCCCACGCTGGTTGCCCATGACTCCTGCTTTTGCTAACTGGGGGACCAGGGAGTTGCGTGTTCGCCTCTTTCCAGATCCCATGTGCCAGAACTCAGTCACAGGGCCACATGGGGCTGGAGGAGGGGTGAGGAGAGCACTGTTGCTATGTCTGCTTCTGGACAGGGGCTCAGTTCAGCAAGAACACAGGACCCTCACACTGTGGGCCAGAAGCTCTGCCATGCAGGTCCTTGTCCTTCATGCAGGTGACTGTGGCAGCCCTGTGATAGGCAGAGGGAGGACACCACATGCATCCAGGTGGACTCTGAGTGGTTACGCAGAGCTGTTCCCCAGAGTTGTGGCTGTTGCCGGAGCGGGGTCCCCTCAGCTGCACTGTGGAGAAGCAGAGGTCAGTGGGAATCACCTGGCAAATCTGCCAAGGGCTTTGCAATTTGTCTACCTTCTCCCTTCACAGGGGCAGGCTGTGGTCCAGGAAGGAGCTCTCTATGGTACACTGGGGAGCTGGCTTCTACATTGTGGGGAGTAATAGCCAGCGATGCCGCTGCTTTCCAAGAAACCCCAGGATTTAGGCCCTGTCATCCGGGGCCTCCAACTGGGAAGCTCAGAGCTGCCCTGTGGATTACTGGCCATTCTGGAGTCTCTCATCCAGGGGGCCACAGATGGGTGCCCGCCGAGCTCTGCCTTTCTGTTCTTGTGCCGTGGGGACCTGGTGGGAGACTCTGTGCCTACAGAATGAGAGGAAGTGTCCACTCCTCTGGGAGTCCTGCCCTGTCATGCACTGGGCATAGGAAACGTTCACAAGCCAGAGCCATAAATGGCTCCCAGGCCATCACTGCAGAGGGTCCCTTCTTGACTGGGGTCCACCCTGTCCTCCTCCTGCAGGGCCCACTCCAGGGTTCGGGTCTTTCCCAAAGCCCAGGGACCCTTACAAGGATAATTCTTTTATGCACGCATGTATGTGTGCACATGTGTACATGTGCAGTGGCTCCTCTGTTCACAAATGCTTTTGTTTGCAAACAATTTGGTTCTCAAAAAGAAGTGTTTGGCAACTTTTTTTTCAAATTGAATTGGCAACAAACATGAATTTGGGCATGTTTCCCACACAAACACAAAGTGGCCATCTTTTCCCAAACTGTAGCACAAATTAAGCTCATGAACTGAAGTACCACTGTACGTGTGTACATGCATGTGTGCATGTTTATATTTTGTAGTGCTAGGGATCGAACCTGGGGCCCACAAATGCTAGAAAAGTGCTTTACCACTGAGCTCCATTCCCTGCCCAGGATAATATTTTTATTTTTTTTTTAATTTTACTTAAAGAAAGACTAAACAAAACAGAAAATAGGTAGAAATAATACATAGGTTCAGAGAAAAAACTAAACAGTAAGAAATCACTAATAGATGTTTACATATTGTCGTTTTACAAATAGTTGTTCAAGGTACAAAAATGGAACATGCAGAGCAGGAATTCAAATAGCGAGATTGCAAACAGTTCTGTTTAACTGTCCAACAAAAACTAAGTAACATAGTTGTCAATCCTATACACTTAAACATACATGCAGTTATCCATATCTTCATTTAGATTTAGATTAAACAAACTAAAGTAAGTTAAAATCATTCTGAACAAAGAATAATAGTATCTCTGGATTTCACATCATGATACTCTCTGTGATCAGCACTGGGTACTGTAGTGTCTTTTTTTAAAATTTAATTTAAGGAAAGACTAAACAAAACAGAAAATGGGTAGAAATAATACATAATTTCAAAGAAAAAAGAATCAGTAAGAAATCCCTAGCTGATGATTACAGACTGTCTTCTTACAAATAGTTATTCAAGATACTAAAGTGGAGCATATAAAGTGAGGATTCAAACAGTGAGATTGCACCCCAGTTCTGTTCAACTATCCAACAAAAACTTAGAAATATGGTTATCAATCCTATACACTTAAACATAGATGCAGTTATCCATATCTTCAATTATGTTGAGATTGAACAAACCCAAGCAGGCTAATATCACTCTGAACAAAGAATAATACTAGGATAATATTTTTAAGAGCATAAAAAATCTCCACAAAGGATGATAAAGAAAATCAATTAACATAGAGATATCAAAATATTAAAAATAAATTTGGGCCATCGCAATACATGTGTTTCTTTCTCACGTTTACAGATAAAGAGACCAGCAGCAGGCTGAAGGACCATTGATGGGAGACACAGCAGTCGCTCCTTATCTGGCTGGCACTTCCTGTGGTTTTGGTCACACGTTGGCCAGCCGTCATCTGGTGTCCTTAGGACTCTCCTGACTTATCATCAGTCAACAGCAGCCTGTCAGAAGACCCAAGGTGATCATGTAACTTCCTCTCATTCTGGAAGTGCAGAATCTCCACTCAGGTCCCAAGACAGAGGAGGGCAAGTGTAGTCCAGTTAAACTGGGGTGTAATTAAACAGGGTGGTGTGTGTGTGTGTGTGTGTGTGTGAGAGAGAGAGAGAGAGAGAGAGACAGACAAACAGACAGACAGACAGACAGACAGAGACAGAGAGACCACACCACATTACTTGCATTACATTGGATCATTATAATGGTTCTATTTAATCAGTTATTTTTAACCTGTTACTGTGTCCAATTTATAAATTAAACTTTATCATAGCTATAGGATAAAAAAGATACCATATGAATTTTGATAAAGATACTGCTGTCAAGAGCCATCCCTAAACCTCAGTAATGGTGTGTGACACATTTCAGTTTGTTCAGTGCAGTCAGTGTGTCACGAGCTACAGTTGTGAGAAGGTGTGCTTTAAGGTGTGCCGTCAATCACGGGTCACAAACTGACCAATGGGAGATTTGGTTGATTGTATTGGAGTTGTGGATCCTGAATTCAAATTTAAGATGTAATGGGTAGGAGGTGAAGCTCGGGCCTCTAGTTATGATCCTGAGACTGAGGCTGAGCTTTTGTGGTGGAGATCACCTAGCTCTCCTTGTGCATGAAAATGCAGTAACACGGGGATGTCGATGGTTATGGAAATGGAGAAGAAGGAGATGGAGATGGAGATGGGGATGGGGATGGGGATGAGGAGGGGGACGGGGACGGGGATGGGGATGGGGATGGGGATGGGGACGGGGACGGGGATGGGGACGGGGACGGGGACGGGGATGGGGATGAGGAGGGGGACGGGGACGGGGATGGGGATGGGGATGGGGATGGGGACGGGGACGGGGATGGGGACGGGGACGGGGACGGGGATGGGGATGAGGAGGGGGACGGGGACGGGGATGGGGATGGGGATGGGGATGGGGATGGGGATGGGGATGGGGATGGGGATGGAGATGGAGATGGAGATGGCGATGGAGATGGGGATGGAGATGGAGGTGAAGGTGGGGACGGGGATGGGGATGGAGATGGAGATGGGGATGAATGTGGGAATGTGGATGGGGATGGGGCTGGGGATGGGGATGGGATGGGGATAGGGATGGAGATGGCAATGGAGATGGTGATAGGGATGACTCTTTGAACCTTGCCAGAGCTGTGTGAGTGGAGTCAGCACCCTGAATACTGAGTGCTAGGAGGGCTCTGGAGAGCATCTGAGAAATTACCTATGTAGGGTTCAAGTGGCAGAGCACAGGGCCAGTGCTTCCACCCTGCATCAGGACTCTGCTCCAGGTCACACAGGGATTCGGGTGCAGCACCTCCTGTCTGATAAAAGTGTGACTCCATGTCCCTGTAGGCCTCAGTCACCAGCTTAGGCACTGCATGGGCTCCCCTGCTTCCTGAGGTCAGTGTGACCACAGAAGGCCAATGTTTGGAATTGCTCTGGGACATGGAAGCACCCAGGACTGTGCAACTAAAGACCTTCAGGAAAGAAGACTCTAGAGCTGCTGCAGAAAGCGGCCAGGATGATGGCTTAAGTTCAAAAGGGAGGGGAGATCTAGGGGACTCATGGAATGCACCTTACCCTATAATACATTTCTAAAAGTGAACATTGGCCATAGTTTTCAACTGCGCCTCCTACATAGGGTCCAGGTCTAACCAGTTTCAGGTGCCTGCTAGGAATGAGGTGTGTCACAGCTGACCAGTGGGAGCCTTGGCGTGCTGACAGTAAATGGAATCCTGGGCATATTAACTAACAGCAATGTGAGATGACAATATCAAGGATTTCTATTGGTGACAGAGTCACAGCTCTTGCTGATATTTCTGTGCTTCATTTTCTATTTTCATAGTGGGAGAAAATGTTAAGTTCAGTTTAAATGGCATAAAGTAGTCATTTTCCTACTTAAATGTATGAACCCCCCTCCCTCTTATCATAGCACAGGATGGAACACAGGGCCTTTGCACTGAACTGCGTCCCCATCCCTTTCTTGCTAAGTTGCTCAGTGGCCCAGCTTGGGCACTTGTGATCCTCCTGCTTCAGGTTCCCTGAGTGCTGAGATTACAGGCATGCACCACCATCACGTATTTCTTGAAGATTAGAGGACCCAGAGCTAAGATTCTCCTGTCTAAGGGAGGCTACATGGAGATCAGTTGCTTTCTGAAACCTCACCATCTGTGGAAGATTCTCTCCCAGTCTGGGAAGTGGTCCTGGAGGCCTCACCAGGGGCAGGGATGTGAGGAGGGACAGCACTGCGGGTCACTGGGGTTTGTGTAGGGCAGCGCATAGCTTGGTGTCTCATCTGCTGTAGAGGAGGTGGGGCCGCTGTCCATCTTTCTCATCTACAGTGAGTTTAAGGCTGACCCAGGGAAGAAACTGCCTAGTAAGTCTGGCCTGCTGCAGGCACCTTCCCTGCCTGTCCTATGACCAGGACGTAACTTCCTGTCCCATGCAGGCAGGTTTTGCGGGATGCAGTGAGTGCAATGGGTTGTGCAGGGTGCTACCTACTCTGCCCCTTTCCCCCTGGCACAGGATTAGGTGCACAGGCTCTGGGAGCAGGGGCAAGACATTTGCTCATTGGTTTGCAGTGTCCTAGACTTGGGCTTCGTGCAGGGCTGTGCTCCCTCCCAGGCCATGATCCGGGTCCCTCAGTGGATCTGTAGGTTGGACAGGAAGCATGCAAAGATGGCTAAGCCCTCACTGCAGGTGGCTCCAGAAGGATGACTGGAGGCAGGTGCTATCAGTGCCCCCAGAGGGGTCAGGAGCACTGGGACCTTGGAAGGAAGATGTCTTCTGGGTTGGGATTGGGAGTACATTGAGATGCTGGCCCGGGAGGCTGACTGGGGTATGCAGAGTAGTGGAGGACAGTGGGTGTGTTTTCTGCAGGTTGCATGAAGGGGAAGGCTGTGGCTGGAGTGTCCAGAAGGACAGAAGGAAGTGGCCACCAGGGCCAGGAGCAGAGACATAGGCAGCAGGCGCCAAGCCCCAGGCATTTCCTCCTGTGGGCCTGACAGAGCCGGTCCATCCTCTGTCTTGGCTTCACCACTCAACCTGGACGTGCCAGCTTTCAGGTTCTGGTCCCCCTGCAGGGGCTAAGTGCCCCGGGACTCTGACGTTTATAAATTACTAAGTTAAAAATGAATTGCAGCATTGGCTCTACGCCTGGCTCATCCCCATGGGTGCCTGGTTTTAATTTCTGTGGCAACTATGGAAGCTGCAGAGGGATGGGGCAGCCTGAGCCCCGAGGCACAGCCGGCACTCTGCCCTGGGAGTGGGGGTCTTGACCTTATGGCGACCATCTCACCTGGCTTCTGTGTACCTGTGGGTGCACTTGGGGGAGCATAGAGAGCATTTGGGAGCACTAGCTGGTATTGGTGGATGGGGGTTCAACCTCCCTGCTCCGCCGCACACTCAGGGGAGGAACAGGCACAGACACAGAGCTGATGGGAAATAGCAGGGCTCGGGGCCCTGCTGAATGTCCTCCCCTACCTGCAGCCTGTCCTGTCCTTGGCCCTGGGTGCCCCACGGGCTCTCCCATCCCCTCGAGCTCCACAGCCCTCAGCTTGGGCCCCACAGAACTTGCTGTCGAGCCAGAGAGGGCTTCCCAAAGCAGAGGACAGTGCCATTGTCCTGACCCTACCCTCAAGGCCTCCTGTACCCAGGGAATACAACTTTCCAGGCTCAGATCTCCGCTTTTAATGGGGCCCAGTGGAGCTCTGTAGCCTGGGCAGTGCACTTAGACTTCTTGGTTTGAACACCGGATTGTGTGTGACATGTAACTGTTTTCTCAATGGGGGCAATCAGAGCCCCCAAATCCCTGCATTCAAGCCGACTAAACAAACTGGCAAATGGGAAGTCCTCAGCACAGCACTTCCTCCATGAGCACACCCACATTCCAGAAGTGTTCAGCAAAAGGTGGCACTATCACTGCTGCTGCCACCTGCCTCCGTCTCCGGGGATTGAAGTTCCACCAAAACTTCCATTGTGACCTTGAACTCCTGTTGTCTTGTGACAGAAGACCCCAAAGTCAGCAGCTGACAATGGCCAGGATCTCGAGCATCAGGAGGGAGCATGGACCACCTGTGATCTCCACTTCAAGGTTTACTGAGCTGTGGCACTGAGGGCCTGGCCTCCTCCCTGGAGCCCACGCAGGCAAGGGCTGAGGCTCTGAGCTCCCGGCCACAGGAGGGCCAGGATGCTGGCTTCCTCCACACCACTGTAGGAGGGGAAGCTCCAGCAAGCTGGGCATTGCAGCTGTGTGTAGGAAAAACGTACACTCAGGCCCACACAGCCACGCCTACCTTGCTTCTGTGTCCCATTGGCAGCAAGTAACTCAAGGGAGAGGACACACAGGTGCCAACAGCAGCAAACTAGGATCCCAAGGCCACCACACACCACTGGACTTGTCTCTCTGGATGTCCTCCTTCTGTCCTCAAGTCTTCTCTGTACATCATGGTTCATCCTGTTTCGTCCTCCCGTGCTTCTGTGCAGCCCTGGCGGGGTCCCAGGCAAAGACACAGAGAGCACAGCCCAGCCCTTTGCATTTTCTCATCCAAGCCACCTCCTCATACCCTAATTATCTGCCTGTGTGTCTTGTTCCAGAGTCCCATGGCACATTACTTATGTGAGAACATCTGTCTCACTGGGTTGGGATTTCCTGAGCTCTGCACTGACCATTTGAGTCAGGGTCAAGGTCGGGCCTTGGTCTCAGTCCAGGCCTGAGAATAGAGGGCCAAGCCCATGCTGGAAAGGACGTGGAGTCAACAACAAATCAACCTGCTTTTGGAAACTAGCACAGGTCTATTTGGAAGCTGCAGTGAGCCCAAGTTCTGAGGGCTTGGGTTCTCCTGAAATCAAGAGGCTGCCATGGGGGCAGATGCACCGGCAAAAACCACAGCAGGGCTGAGTTTTTATGTGCAGCAAAGCCACTGGTCATGTGAGGTAAAGGCAGGGACAGCTTTGGGGTCAGGAAGAGGAG